CGGTTCCCCCTTTTCAGAATGCTTTCCCTCCTCCCTTGCCCCAGAATCCGCTGCTTTCTCTAAGACATAGCTCAGGCACTGCCAGAGGCACTTCCTGGCACTTCCTGACACTTCCCCCCACCCCAGCTGTCTTAAATTTCAGGCTGTTTTGTGGGAGGGGAGTGCAGCCTCTGACACAGACCAGCTGCTAGCTGAGGGACTTTGGGAATTCATTTCCTCAGTTAGTACCTTGGGCAGTTCTCAGAAGCATGGAGGTGGTGCTGCCTGCACCTGTGAACCTCCTCATTGCAACTTCCCTCAGTCAATGAAAACTCGGGCCTGGTTCCCCCTAACTCAACCTTTGCATCCTCCCACCCCTCCCCCACTAACCCTAACCCTAACCCAGTCCAGTAGAAATTCCTCAAGAGTCAGGCCTTGGTTCAGGTTTCGTCTCTGTATCCTCAGGACATTTAGCACAGTACTTGGGACATAGCATGGGCTTAATGCATGGTTGTTGAATAGAAACTGAATGAGGAGGCTGCTGAATAGATAGAGATCACCTTGTAGCTGCATTCATAGAAGGGTGGCCACATGAATGGACAGTAGGACAGTTAGGTATACAAATCCATGGATGGGTCCATAGACAGATGATGCATGGACGGACGGATGGATGCATGGATGGATGGATGCATGGATGGATGGATGGATGCATGGATGCATGGATGGATAGATAGAGGTATACATGTGTGAATTTCTAAGTAGATGAATAGTTGCTTCTAGACCATAAGGTTACCCTCTCAGGCCTGGGAGTCCATATGCCCAGAGAAATAGAGCTATAGCTGGTCCAGTAAAGCAGCAACAGATGGGGTAACAGTGGAAAAAACTTGGCAGTGAGCAGTAGGAGATTTGGCTTGTTAGAGTGGATAGCCTTGGACACCTTTCTTCTCTCTGAACCTCGGTTTCTCACTCCTTAAAAAGGAAGGAGCCTCAAAGGGGTCCCTTTAAGACCTCTCTGGAGAGAGAGCTCAGAATGGGGTGAAGATGAGAGAGCTCTAGAGAGAAAGCGAAGAGAGGAGCATTGAGGGGCTAGTACGTCATTGGTGGCCAGGGTCCCTGATCTTCCTCATTCAGAAGGTGGTGGAAGGCCCAAGATGAGGAGCTCACAGCTTCGAGCCTCATGTGTCCTGTCAGGAAGAGGAGGCCCTTGGTGCTTTTTGTTCTGCACGTCCTCCAGCAGGGGTGTTTGTGGCCAGACTCCTCTAGGTGGGGGCTCAAAGCCTGGCCCAGCCCTAAGGTGTGGGGCTTCGAAAATTTTTGGAGGGAGGGGATGGAGCCCTTTAGGAGTCCTGGAAGGGGGGTGGGTCATGGATGGGGGAGGCCTCAGGGTTTGCCTCTAAGTCTAGCCAAGTCCTTCCTCACCTTAGCCCAGTTCCTGCCTGCCTTCCTGTGGCCAGAGCGTCCCCGGGACTGGCTCCCGCCCACCTAACACCAGCTCTCCCTCTTTCTCTGTTGCCCACTGCCCATGGCCCCCCTCTCTCCACTCCCCTTCACCTTTCCTGCCCCTTCCCTCCCCTCCCCACCCCAGGGACGAGGAGCTAATGGAGAATGACGAGGACGGCCATCAGTTCTGCTGCCCCCCTTCCGAGTCCAGTAGCCCTGCTTCTAGGTAACCTGGAAGTACAGAGGCTTCATCCTTCTCGGCCGGAGAATACTTCCCCTGAGCCCTGGCTTGGAAGCGGGCCCCTTCCCATGCTGCTCTCTCCCTCCATCAGGGTCCCCATTCCTCCCCTCCTCAGGTCTCTATGCAGAAGCCAAAGCCTTAACTTCCCTGCCTCTGGAAAGAACTGTGCGGGCCTCAGGCCTGGAGGCCGCCTGCGCAGGGCTCTTGCATTTCCCTGTCTCCTCTCTCCCCTGGCCTTAGGGACAATACTGCTGATGGTGACAAGGATGAGCCTGGTCTTTGGATCTCAGCCAACCCTTATCCCTGCCCTGGCCCCCCCATGGACTCGGGGAGCCTGATTACCCTGGAAAATAGCTGATCTGAGGAGAGGAGAGGAGAGGAGAGGAGAGGAGAGGACAGAAGTCTAGGGGAGAGGAAGCCAGAGGAGAAGAGGCCAGGGGAGGGTGGGTAGAGAAGGGAGCTGGTAGACTGAGGGCAGCTCAGAGGACACTTCTGGGGAATCCTGTCCCCTCCCCTGCTTCCTCCCGTTTGCTGACTTCAGAGCTTCTGCCTACTGCTGCTTTCCAGGCCTTGGACCCGGACAGACCGTCTCTTCCCCCTGCTCTCCCATTTCAATAAAAACCAAATCTGCCTTCTTCCTTCTTCCACCTTTGCAGTGCTCTTTGTAAAATGAGGTGGGTTAGGGTTGGCTGGAAATGTCACTCACCAGTTCCTGGAGATCTTAGCTGTGTGACGTTAGACAAGTCACTTCTGTCTGAGCCTCAGTCTCCTCATTTGTAAAATCAGGGTTATAGTTGGCCCACCTACCTCACAGGGTTGTTGTGAGGAAAGTGCGTAAACAGTGTGGTGTTGGAGCAGCCTGTGTGCGTGCCTGTATGGGATCGGGGCTGGGGGTTCTGAAGACTTCTTAGCCTTCGTGCCTTGGTGAGAATTCAGCCACTCATTAAATCGCTCAGTCGCTATCCCCTTCTGAGGCCTTAGTGACGAGGCCTTGACACCAAATGGGGCCAGTAACCCAGGAGCTCCAAGACGTGGGAGGGGCTCTTGGATCACCCCTAGAGTTGGAGTTCTGGATCGCTGCCTGAGGCTTGGACATGGGGAGTATCAAGACCCCAGGGCTCCAGAGGCCAGACTTGAGCCCAGGTCTGCCTGTTTCCACTGAGTCCCTGGAAGACTCCAAGGTGCAGTGACCCACTGCTCCAGTCTCCAAAGAGATTTTTATGCAAATCAACTTTGAGCCTCAGGTTGGACCTGGAAACCCCAGGCTAGGCCCAGCCACTCACCTTCAGAGTTCGCTTTTCCGCTCGTTTCTCTGGGAATCAGAGATCTGCGTGAGGGATGAGCCCTAGGTGTGCCTGTCTTTGGGGCTTGCTGGGTCGGTGGCCCTGGAGTTTGAGGGAGCAAATCTGTGGTAGGTCACTGGCCCAACCACCCCTGTTCAGCCAGGCTTCCTGGGGCAGCAGGTGGGAAGGAGAAGGGGAAAAAAAGTGGGCCAGGCTGGGAAGGGCAGAGAGAGAAGCCCCCATCAGACGCTCTCACCCCCTCCGCTGGCAAGCACACCCTGTTCCCACCTACCTTGGGGGACTCCAGCTATTTCCTGCCCCCACTGACTGCCCATTGTTTTGGGGCCTCTGCGACTCAGCCCTAACCCTAAATGCACTCTGACTTTGAGCCCTTCAGCTGCCTTTCCTCCCTCATTTCATTCAGAGGGCTGCCTGGAAGAGATGGGTCTGTTCTTTGTCAGGTCTGAGAAAGGCACATATTATGGGGGTGGGGGGTGGGCTGGGAAGGGGTATTCATGGACTGGACTCAAGAATGAAATTGGGAGCCAGAGGTGGGGGCCTTGAATGCCAACTAGAGAAAGTCCAAGTGTGGGTCAGGGGGCATGGGGTGATAGAAAGGCTGAATTCACCAGCCAGAGGCAGGGGGACTTCATCGTGGGCCTCAGATTGAGCTTGTGTAAGCAATCTGGGCTATGAGGAGCTCTGAGCTTAGAGGTGGGAGATAGAAGAGGAAGTCTACTTAAATAACACCTTCTGCGGGCTCCCTATTCCAGGCCTGGGGGGCTGACAGGTCCCTGGTTGCCAAGGTGATGCCTCCCCTCATCTAGAGGCTCCTTCCCGCTTTGGAAGCCATGGCAACTGGCCAACCCCCTCCTCCATTTCCATGGCAACTGTGTCCATCCCCAGCCCCCCCCCATCTGCCAGGGTTTGGGGAGGTGGCTGAGCTTAGGGGGAGACAGAGAGGTGGGGGGGGGAAGATGGCAATAGGGTTGGGAAATGGAGAGAGAGAAAGACAAAGGGGAGATCGAGATATATGGAGAGAATCAGAAGGGGGAGAGAAAGAGGGGATGGTGGAGAGGCAAAGGAGAGAAAATAAGACAAAGACAGGGAAAGAGTGGGGAGGCGAGAACAATCTGAAAGAGAGAAGGAGAAAGAGAGACAGGGTCAGGGAGAGACAGAGACGGTCCCGCGAGAGAGAGGGGCAAGCACTAGCGTTGGAGGATTGTGGGCCCCAGTGTCGGCAGGGTCTGGCCAGTGGGGGAGGCTCTCTCGTCCCCCCAGTCTTGTCAGCCTGGGACTGTTGCCCACCCTCCCCCTCTGCCAAGCCCCGCCTCTCCCCCCACCTCCATGGCGGCCCTGATGAGCCAGTGACGCTGTCCCCCTTCCTTCCCCTGTGTGGTTCAACCTCTTCATCAGCTCTTCCTGGCTTTCTGGGAGCTCACTCCCTCCTTGGCCAAAGTATCCCCCAGCTTGGGGCTAGCTGCATCCTCGGCTCTTCTCTGTTCCCTGGCAGCCAGGTTGCCATAGCAGCAGGAGGCCAGGTTCCTCCCAAAGGTGCTGGAGGCCCAGGTGGCCCAGCAGTGGAAGGAGGGAAGTTTGCCTGAAAACCCCCTGCCATGCCACCTTCTGCTCCCTTGGGCTTCCACCCTGGAGGAGGAGGAGGAGATGAGGAAGAAGGAGAAATGGTCCCGAAGAGCTGCCCTCTACCTGTGAGGAGAGAGGAATCTGGGGCTTGGAGGGAGAAGGAGGAGGAGGAGGAGGAGGAGGAAGATGCAGGGTATGAAGCAGAAAGAGGAGGGGGGAGGAGAAGAGGAGAGAGTAGAAGGAAGGAGAGGAGGAAGGCACCCTGCCTTGTGGCCTTGTGCCTACGGGTTTCTCCTTGATCTGGGGTCCCCTTTCTCTCTACTCCCTGGCCCCCTGATCTGTGGGTGAGGGAGAGTGATGGGAAAGCTGCAGCCCAGGCCAGGAGGCCGGTTAGAATGGGGAGGGAGCCATCAGGGACCCCAGAGCAAGGCTGCTCAGGTCCCCGGCTCCACCCATCCCTTACCCTCCTGCAGTGTGGAGGGCGATGCCCCGGCCAGTGATCTGGGCGTCGGGGCCGACAGTCCGGAAAGCCAGCCCCCCTACCGTTGCGGGGGCAGTGCTGTTGTCAGCGAGTTCGCCAAGTTGTCGGACCCCTATGAGCTGCCCCCGGCTGCCTGCCATGTCCACATGCCTGGTCCGTCTGCTGCCACTGGCCTGCCCTGGGCCCAGCGGGCTCGCCTCCAGCCCGCCAGCTTGGCATTGCGAAAGCAGGAGGAAGAGGAGATGAAGAGGTCCAAGGCTCTGTCTGACAGCTATGAGCTCTCCACAGACCTGCAGGATAAGAAGGTAGGTACGGCAGGGGTGGGGGTCATCCATCTGGGCCCCCTCCTGGCTGGATCGGGCTTCCCAGCCCCCTGCTGCAGGCACCTTCTTCCTCCTCCCTTCTCCTCTCCTTTCCTCTATTCCTTCTTTCTGTCCTTCCTTCCTTCCTTCTTTCCTCCCTCTTTTCTTTCTTCTCTCCTTCCTTCCTTCCTCCCTTCCCCTTGTCTTCTTTGTACCATCCTTTCCCTCTGCCTTCTCCTTTCTTTTCTTCCTTCTCTCCTTTCCTGTTATTCTCCTTCCTTCCTCCTCTCTTTCCTCTCCTCCTGTTCAGGTGGAGATGCTGGAGCGGAAGTATGGTGGCCCGTTTCTTAGTCGGCGGGCAGCGCGCACCATCCAGACAGCCTTCCGCCAGTACCGCATGAACAAGAACTTTGAGCGGCTGCGGAGCTCGGCCTCGGAGAGCCGCATGTCCAGGCGCATCATTCTGTCCAACATGCGCCTGCAGTTCTCCTTTGAGGAGTATGACAAGGGCCAGACCGCTCCTTACTTTGAGGGCAAGCCAGCCTCCTTGGATGAGGGCGCCATGGCAGGGGCCCGGGCCCATCGGCTAGAGCGTGGTCTCCCCTATGGTGGTTCCTGCAGTGGCCTGGATGGAGGCAGCTCTGTCACCACCTCGGGGGAGTTCTCCAATGACATTACTGAGCTGGAAGACTCCTTCTCCAAGCAGGTGAGGCCTCGGGGGCCACCCTTGACCTCTTCCCTCACCTCCCTTTGGACCCTTCAGTAATTAAGCAGTGAGTGCCTGGTAGGTCCTCACTGCTGGGCCCAGGGCCTTGTAGTGGGAACAGAGAGGAGCAACGGAGCTCCCAGGCCACTTTATTTCCCTACTGCATTCATTCACAAACAGTTACTAAATTATTGACATATTGGAGAAAGAGCAGGGCTCTGAGGTGGGAAGACCTGGCTTCCAGTCTCGCTGACATATACTGAGACCAGAAATTTAAATCCAAGTGGCCATTCTGCCTCAGTGGAGGGAGTTTCCATACCAGGAGTGCCTCATCCTGCAGAAAGCCCAAGTCAAGCCCAAACCTAATCAAACATGAGTGGCCCCTGGGCATCTCAGTGGTCCTTGGGAGATGAATTCTGGGAGTTTGGGGGAGAAGGAGGAAGGGGCAGGGTCCAGGACAGCTTTTCTTTGGACTGATCGATAACATCCTGCACTCTTTTCTTCCTGCCTTTTTGCCTTTCTTTCCCCCTTCCCTGCAAACCTATGAGGAGCAGGTGAAGTCCTTGGCAGAATCGATTGATGAGGCCCTGAACTGCCACAGTCTTCGGGGAGAGGAGGAGGAAGAGGAAGAGGAGGAGGAGGAAGAGGAGGAGGAGGAGGAGGAAGAAGAAGAGGAGGAGGAGGAAGAGGAGGAGACAGTAGAACCGGGGCGAGTGGAGGTCTCGGGGCCCCTCCCAGAGCAGGCAGAGGCCCGGGACCACCACGGGGACAGCACAGGCACTTCCTTCAGTGATGTCACCCTCTACCTGGATGAAGCCACTGGGCCTGTGTCCCCTCTTTCCCCAGACCACCCAGCCAGCAGTGGTGACACTCCACAGCCGTCTCTGCCGCCACCCCCGCCGGGGGCTGCCAGTGTTCGGGAGGAGGACATGGGGGCCCGCCGGGGCCCCCCTTGCCTTGAATGCAGGGACTTCCGCCTGCGGGCGGCCCACCTTCCGCTGTTGACCATCGAACCACCTAGTGATAGCTCTGTGGACCTCAGTGACCGCTCTGACCGGGGCTCTATTCACCGGCAGCTGGGCAACTATGAGGCTGGTGGGACTGGCAGCCCCCATGGGACCTTGCAGCAGCACCCGGAGCCACCACCACCTGGGAGACCCCCTCACCCCCTCCGCCACTACCCAGCCCCTGAGGCTAGTGGCCTGGGGCCCCCACCACCCCCACCTGGAAGCTCTGCCCTCAACAGTGGTGGTCCCCCTGGAAGTGGTGGCAGCCGAATCCTCCTGGGCAAGTGTGAGGCCGGCACGGCTCCGGTGGCTGCTGGCAGCAGCGGTGGCGGCGGCGGTGGCGGCGACAACTCTGACGGGGAGCCTGACAGTTTGAACAGCACCACCAACTCAAATGAGACCATTAACTGCAGCTCAGGATCTTCGTCACGAGACAGCCTGCGGGAGCCGCCTGCCCCGCTGGGCTCCCAGACTTATCAACGGGAGACCAGGCACAGCTGGGACTCACCAGCCTTCAACAATGACGTGGTCCAGAGACGGCATTACCGCATAGGCCTCAACCTCTTTAACAAGTAGGTTTCCCTAGACTCAGCCTTCCTGGGTCTCAGCTCCTCCTCCTCCATTCCCTTTCTCTGGTCTTCTTCCTCCCACTGTCTCCTCCTTTCCCTTCTCTTCTTTCTTTTCAACCCCTTGCTTTCCCTGAACTCCAATGATCTGGGAGTCATATGGGTTTCCATGTGATCACACTCTGTGTAACCTCAGGCCTCAATCTCTGAACACTTTGGAAACAGCAGAGCACTCTGCGTGTGAACCATCTAATGCTTTGTGTGTGAGCTCAGCAGTGTCATGTGTGTACACATACTGGGTGTGAACATCTGTGAGTGTGCATGCGTGCATGCATGCACACGTACATGTGCCCTAGAGTATCTCGTAGGTAGCACATATTCACCTGGACACAGTTATTCTGGCAATCACTTTGCAAACGTAAACAATGATTCTTATTTTTTGTTTGTTTGTTTTTGTTGTTGGTGGTGGTTTTTTAAAGCGATTGGGGTTAAGTGACTCGTCCAGGGTCACGCAGCTAGTAAGTATCAGGGGTTTGGTCTGAGGCCGGATTTGAACTCAGGTCCTCCTGACTTCAGGGCCGGTGCTCTATCCACTGTGCCACCTAGCTGCCCCAACAATGATTCTTATCGGTAGTCACCCAAATTCTCCCCAGGAAACCAGAGAAAGGCATCCAGTACCTGATTGAGCGTGGCTTCTTGTCGGACACACCTGTGGGGGTAGCCCACTTCATCCTGGAGCGGAAGGGCCTGAGCCGCCAGATGATTGGGGAGTTTCTAGGCAACCGGCAAAAACAGTTCAACAGGGATGTGCTCGAGTGAGAAGGGGTGGGCTGGGAGGGAAGGTGCGGCTTGAGGGTGGTCCCTTGGGTGATCCCTTGCCTTTGTCTGGTGCCCCCAGCCTGGGAAAGTCCCTTTAGCTCTCAAGGCCTCACTGTCTTCTTCTACAAAAAGGGGGTGGGGAAGGTCAGCTCTTGATGCTTCTGACACTAGCTTCCAGCCCAGGTGTTGCTATTTCCTAGCAGTGTGACCTTGGACAAGTCCCATCCCCTCTGAGCCTGTCAGTGAAGGGGCTGGACTGGAAATTAGATCCCTACGACACTTCTGCCGTACTATACCCATTCCCTGACAGATTCCGAGGGAAGGAGAATGGGGGTGGGCTGACAGCCAGCTAAAGAGCATACACCCTCTTTCTCTTCGCTCCTTAAATAGCTGCGTGGTGGATGAGATGGATTTCTCCTCCATGGATCTGGATGACGCTCTGCGAAGGTTCCAGTCCCACATTCGAGTTCAGGGAGAGGCCCAAAAAGTAGAGCGGCTTATTGAGGCCTTCAGGTAAGGCCCTGGCACCTTTCCATCCCTGGAGGCAGTAGCCGAGCAGAAGCTGGGGGGGGCGGGGGGCGGCGCTTGGTGATGCTGAGAACCTAGGAAAGTTTCGTGCATTTGTGAGGAAGGACAGGCAAGTACAGACAGACCCTCTCTTTGGGACTCAGTTTCTGCCTTTGCAAAAATAAGGATATTAATTTTTAAAAACACATTTTACAGCCATTTATTCTCTCTCCTTCCCACTCCCCCCTGCCCCCACTGAAAAAGAAAACTCTCCTAACAAATGGGCAGCATGCAGCAAAACAGATTCCCCTCATTGGCTGTGTCCAAACATGTGGGTCTCATTGTGTTTTATGAGCCCATCACCTCTCTGGCAGGAGGTGGGAGGGGGGGCGGGGAGAGCGGGGGAAGGGTGTGTTTGGTCTTTGGTCCTCAGTACTCAGGCTTTCTCATGGCATTGACCACAGTTCTACAGTCTTTCAAAGTTGTTTCTCCGTGTGATGTTGTCATTGTCAGTGTATAAATTGTTCTAGTTTTGTTCACTTTTCTCTACACCAGTTCTTAGAGGTCTTTCCAATGTACTCTGGAACCGTTCATTTGAGCTTTTTTTTTTTTCAAGACTGGGTCTCCTGATCTTGTCCAGACTAGAAGTGCATCAGACACTCATGGGCTTAATCCTACTGCTAATCAGCAAGGAAGCTTTGACCTGCTTCATTTCTGACCTGGTCTTGTTTGGCCTTCCTTAGGTATCCTGGTAACCCCTGCTCCTGGGTGCTCACCACGAGCCACCTGCTAGGTTTTAGCCATTGCAGCTCCAGCAATCCACCAGTCTCAGCTTCATTGCAGGAGCGCACCACCATGCCTGGTCATTTGTTCATTTCCTCCATGACATTCGTAGACCATAACGTGTTCAGCCATCCCCCAACGGATGGACGCCCCTTCATGTTCCAGTTCTTGGCCACCACAAACACAACTGCTAGAAATATCTTTATTACATATGAGATTTTTCCCTTTCCCTGAGGCATAGATATAGTAATAGTATTGCTGGGTCAAAGGGTATCCCAGTTTAATAACTTTGGAGGCATAATGCCAAAGCCACTCCAAGCATTGTCATGGGCCTCTTGCTAGCCTGATGGCTTACTGATAATACTTACTGATGGTAACTCAGAGTTACTTGAATTCTGCAATTCTCAAATTATCCCTAATTTGGAGCATTTTTTTTCACATGGTTATCAATAGCTTGGATTTCTTTAAGAAAGTCTTATTCATGTGATCTTTCTTGAACAATCTACCTCACAGGGCTTTTGGAAGTCAAGACACACGAACTGTTATTTTTCTTAAGGAATTGGGGAATGGAAGGGCCACTGGAGGTGGAAGCAGCTAGAGATAGAGCTGAGTGCAGGGGCGGGGGTGAGGGTGGACATTGTCTGGAAGATCCAGGCTCTTGGGTGGCGTGACATGAGGCCAGAGCTCAGAACTGGTGTCTCCTTTCTGTGGAGAAAGGATTGGGGAACTCAAAAGCGAGGTGAGCACATCTGACTTCCTTTCCTTGAGCAGCCAGCGGTATTGTGTATGCAACCCGGCCCTTGTGAGGCAGTTCCGGAACCCAGATACCATCTTCATTTTGGCCTTTGCCATCATCTTGCTCAACACAGACATGTACAGCCCCAATGTAAAGGCTGAACGCAAGATGAAGCCTGAAGACTTCATTAAGAACCTCAGAGGTACATTGAGTGATGCCTGCATTACTGGTTTTGTACTGTGGCCTTGGGTTGGTCCTTGTCTCCCCCCCCCTCCCCATTGAGTGACCTCAAAGGCTCCCTTCAGATCCAACATGATGAGATTCTATGATTTGGATGTAGCAGATCAGGGAGGTTTAATGAAGAGACTCCCTAACTCCCTGTGTCATACTTGAAACCCTCAGCACCTCCCACTGTAAGCTGATCTAAAGCCCCTTCCATTTCTAAGGTTTTAGGATTCAATAACTCAGACATGGCAAGTCTGAGAGGTTGCCAACTCTTGACTGGAGAGACGCTGGGCACCTGTGGCCCATTCTGTTGCCCCCTCTCTGGGCCTTGGGAAAATGTGAGGGGATTGTCTGAGATCTTACGTGTCCACCTTACTCGGATGTTTTGTGCATCAGGTCATTGCCATTATCCATTCAGTCAACCTACAAACATCCCTTCTCACCTGAACCATTGCAATGGCCTCCCATGTGGTCTCCTTATCTCGTCTCTTCCCCATTCACCCTCTACTCAGCTGCTAAGGTCTGACCATAGCCACCAGCCCAATAAGCCCTGATGGCTGCCTAGTATCTTTGTGGGCCTCAGTCTGGCTTTTCCAGTCCTTCCTACCTTGGCCCCTTCCTGATGATTCACTGGCTCCCATCTCTGGTCACCAGAGTTCTCTCCCTCATCACCTTTGCTTCTGCTAAGCTCAAGCACCACCTGGTATGTACAGGAAGCTTTTCCCTCCCTCCCCCAGCTACCTTGCATCTGGTTGGTAACATGAAAATGGTGCCTGGCATACAGTAAGCATTTAATAAATGCTCACTGACGAAGCAGCTACAATGTACAATAGGCACCATGCTAGCAGCTAGGAAGACAAAAAGAAAGAGGGAAACAGACAAGAAGGACAACATGCTCATAATAAGTAGCAATGAATTTCCAATCACCCAGTCCAAGGCAGTTTGGGAGGGAGGGCATCAGTAAAGGCTAGGGTTGAATGGGGGGGGGAAGAGGAGGGCGTTCCAGGCACGGGGGACATCCTGTACAGACACATGTGGGAAATGGAGTGCCATATGTGAGACACTGAGACAAAAGTCCAACTTGGCTACAGTGTGAAAAGGGAATTAATGTATAATGCAACTAGAGGGAGCAGGAGATGAAGGGCTTTGAAGGCCAAACAGAGAAACAGAGCATTTTGTATTTGACTGTGGAGGCAATCAGGAGCCATTGGAGTTTGGGGGCGGGGGGGAGGGGAGATATGATCAGATCTGCTCCTTAGGAAAACCACTGGTTGTTGAATGAAGTAAGTGCAGGAGTGAGGAGATGAGGGCCTGCATCAGGGGCCAGGCAGTCTCAGAGGAGAGAAGGGGGACATATTTAAGAGACATTGCAGAGGTGAAATCCACGGGCCTTGGCACCATATTGGATATGGGGCAGGGGGCAGATGAGAGACACTGATGAGTCCAGAATGACTCCTAGGTGGAGAACCTGAGGGACTGGGAGGATGGTGTGGCCCTCAGCAGTAATAGAGAAGGCAGGAGGGGTGCAGTTTAGGGGGAAAGAGAAGGAGTTCTGTTTTACACATATTGAACTTCATATGCCTACTAGACATCCAGTTTGAGATGTCTGAGAGGCAAGTGGAGATAGGAGAATGGAGGTCAGCAGACAGCTGGGGCTCTAAACACATTTGAGAATCATCAGCATAGAGGTGACCATCCATCCCATGGGTGCTGAGGAGATTCCCCCAGTAAAGTACAATAGAAGAGCAGAGGGTCCAGGAGAGAACCTTCTGGGACACCGACAGTTAGAGGGCATGATCTGGATAAGGATCCCAGCTAAGGAGGCTGAGGAGGAACAACCAGGCAGGTAGGAGAGCCAGGAAAGAACAATGTTGGGAAAACCCAGAGAGACTGTTAAGGAGCAGAGGGTAGTGAACTGTATCCAGAACCACAGAGAGGTCAAGGAAGATGAGGATTGAGAAAAGGCAAAGATTTGGCAATTAAGAGATCAGTGGTGACTTTGAAGAAAATAGTTTCATTTGAATGATGAGCTTGGAAGCCAGACTGCAGAGGGTTAGAAAAGAGGGAGAGAAGAAGCAATGGAGGAAGTGAGTGGTGTGCAACATCACAACTTCTCATGTTCCCTCCAGGAGTTGACAATGGAGAGGACATCCCCCGGGACCTGCTGGTTGGCATTTACCAGCGCATCCAGGGCCGAGAACTGAGGACCAATGATGACCATGTATCCCAGGTGCAGGCTGTGGAACGCATGATCGTAGGCAAGAAACCAGTAAGTATTGAGAACTGTGCCTGGCTCTGGTTCCCTGGCCCAAATGGAATTCCAATTTGGCTTTCACTCTTCCCTAAAACCCTGTTTAAGGGGACTACAGGAGCTGAACTAAGGAATCTGGAGAGTAATTCAGATTCATCATTCCCCTGATTTCCCACCTCTTGGTGCCCCACCTATCCAGGTCCTCTCCCTGCCCCACCGGCGCCTGGTCTGTTGCTGCCAACTGTATGAGGTACCTGACCCCAACAGGCCACAGAGGATTGGTCTTCACCAGCGTGAAGTCTTTCTCTTCAATGACCTACTTGTGGTATGAGCATTCAGGGTAGCTGGGTTGTCAAAGGGGAATGGGGCTGGTGACAAGGGGCAGGGGGAGGGGGGGGATATGTTGAGTTCTGTCATGGACTTGCCATGTGCGCTTGGACAAGTCCTTTCCACATCTGGGTTTCAGTTTCCTTCCCCTCTCCCCACAAGGCAAGGATGGGGTAGACAGTTGTTTTCTAAGTATCCTTCTAGACTTTGAGTTGTCTGAAACTTAACATTCATTGATACAGAGGCCAATTTTTTTTGGTGGGGGGGAGGGAGGTGTCTTACTGAGACTGTCAATTTGGATACTTTTTCTTATTTTTTTAAAAAATGGCTGTCATTTGTTTTTTTTTATACTCCAATCTCCCAGCGAGAGGCAGTGAGGTATAAGGCAGGGGCTCTTTCCCTTTTTTTGTCCTGAAGCCCTTAAGCAATCAGTTTGGCAAGAAAGAACAAATTCCACAACAAGAAATAAGAACTCCTGGGGTGATGGATGGAGGGCTGGCCTTGGAATCAGGAATGCCTGGGTTCCCTTCCCTGCTCCGACACATACAAGTGGTAGGATCTTAATGCCCCAGGCAGGTAGGGCAAGGGCAGGAAGGTTAACAAGCACTGGAGAAGGGGGCATTTGCACCCGGGAGCTCCTTCCGCTCCACCAATTCAGTCTCAAGAAGTGATCGATAGGCCCTTGGCAACCCACTGAATCCTCCCTTGAACAAGAACCGTCAAATGAAATCCAACAAAGAAAGCAACTGCGTTCAGCAGCAGCACATGCACTATTTTATACCTCTCTGTGGGGAGCAAGGAAGGCCCCAGGAGGACCGCAGTCCAGTCGGTCCGAGTAGAGCCACCTTTGGGTGGTGTTGGAGGCCCTGCTCCTTCTCTGGCGCCATCACAGCCCTCACGCCAAGCCATGCAGCAACAGTCCATAGTTTCCCCAGCCAAGTAGCCATGTTGTTTCCAGTGTTGGGCTCCCACAAACAAGGCTGCTTGGAATAATTTCTTATAAATGGAGCCAGTTTCTGTCCAGTGTCCTGCAGCTCCTCCAACAGACTTTTCTATTTTGGAACCATCTTTGCCAAGTGGGAGGGCTACAAGAAGCCAGGCTTGGAGCTCCTTCCATGGGCATTCTCCGATCTTTGTGATTTGGTCCCACTGCTAATGAGCTCCCCCCCTCCCTATACCACAGGTCACCAAAATTTTCCAGAAGAAGAAGATCCTGGTGACCTACAGTTTCCGCCAGTCCTTTCCCCTTGTTGAAATGCACCTACAGCTCTTCCAGAATTCATGTGAGTGTCCTATGAGCATATGGCCCACACTGAAGGACCTTTGGGGGGGTGGGGCAGAACTGTAAAGGAGGAAGGGGCCCAAAGGACAAGTTCATCTGGATAGCTGAGGCAGGGCACAGAAGCATAGGTACCAGGATGCAGGTACCTACAATGGAGGCACTTCATCTGGGTTTTGAATGAATGAATGAGCCCCTTTACTAGACCATGTCTTAGCTACATTTTGTCTCTCCCCTAGTGAGAGTGAGAGACACAGAGAAGGGGCTAAAGCTCCCCCAAATCTGAGTCCCTGCTGAGTGGAGATGCTGAAGGGCCACTTCTTGCTAGGGATTCTTCCCTGGATCGCAAGCACTCTGAGGGAAGATTCCAGCTCCAAGTGGAAAGGATGAGCTTGGAGGTTCTTTCTATACCCTGACAATGCCTGTATCCCTTTCTCTCCCTGGCACCTGACAGATTACCAGTTTGGCATCAAACTGCTTTCTGCAGTGCCAGGTGGGGAGCGGAAGGTGCTCATTATTTTCAATGCGCCCAGCCTCCAAGACCGGCTTCGCTTCACGTCTGACCTCCGAGAGTCCATAGCTGAAGTACAAGAGATGGAGAAATACCGTGTGGAATGTGAGTGCCCCCCGCCCAAGCCTGACCCTGTCGGGGGCTAGCCAGCCTCCAGTTTACACACAGCCTCTGATGGAGCTCCCTCTCCTGTGCCTTCAAACAGTTGGCAAGGGAGGGTCGAGAATAGGGCAGGAGGGAAGTGGAGCTGAGCTGAGCTGAGTTCAGCTTGAAGGTCTCCTCCTCCTTGGGGTTTTGAGGAAGCAAAGGGTTAAGAGGCTGAGCAGTTTCAAAGTTGAGATGCTGAATCACTTTTACTATCTACTCTCCTGGAGCAGGAGGAATCACTGTTGTGACGACCTCTTTACTCTGAGTGTGCAAATGCAAGAATTGTCACTTCTGGGTTCCTAAGGGTCTGTCATGAGCTGGTTCTCCACCAGTGTGGATTTCAGACCCTCTACAGCAGATAGATAGAAAGATATGGACAGACATATACATATAGATATACATATCTAGATACAGATATACATATATAGATAGATGAGAGAGATAGAGAGGAGAAAAAGAGAAAGAGAGAGAAGAGAGAGGAGAAAAAGAAGAGAGAGGAAGAGAGAAGAGAGGGAGAGAGAAAGAGCGTGGGGGGAGAAGACAGAGAGAGAGAGAGAGACAGACAGACAGACAGACAGACATTAGAGTTTGGGCTGAAAATTTTCTCCTGTAGGCAAATAAGTAATGAATCTCTAAACTTAGCCAGTCTGGGCCTTGGGACAACAGCCATATAGTCCATCAATGTAGGGAGCAAGGCTCCAATGTCTGAAGGGTTCGAAAGGTCTTCCCTTACAGGAGCCCATAGGTTGGGAGTGTAAGTTATAATATGATGATTTTACAGAGAAGGAAGCTAAGGCACAGAGAGGGAAGTCACTTGTTCAGTATGGCACCCTGATCTCAGCCTTGAAGTGGAATGGAAAGGATGCTGGACTAAGCAAGTCAAAGAGGAGTTTTAAAAAGTCTTCAGGTGTTTGGGCTGAACAGGCTAAGGCATCTAGCAGTTGGGAGAAAGAACGCACAGTTCTAAGAATGAAAGAGAAACTGAGGCCACAAGTCTAATGGTCTAGAAGTTTGCAAGTCTGTGTCTAAGAAATTCTGCCCCAGGTCTTACCTGTCTACTTTATTGAATAGAGACTTATGCCCCCACCTTTGGGAAGTTCCTGTTGGGACAGTTCCAAATTCTGGGGAGGGCAGCTCTCAGGGGACGTGGAGACTGAGAAGTGGCCCAGGCAAGGTGCACTAGAGAGAGGGAAGGTCAAAGGTTATTAATGAAGAGGCCTGCTCTCATATACACAGCGGAGCTAGAGAAGCAAAAGGGGGTGATGCGCCCCAACACCTCCCAGCCCACTGGCTCCAAGGACGCAGTCAACGGCACACTGCCCCGGTCCAGCCTGGAGGATACATATGGCCTTGGTGATGGTCTGAAGCGGAGCGCCCTTAGCAGCTCCCTACGTGACCTCTCTGATGCAGGTCAGGATTGCCCCCCCCGCCCCCCGTGGTGTGGTGATGGGAAAACCAGTAGAGCCAGGATTTTGCTCTGGGCAGGGAAGGGGGAAGGAATCCCCTCCCCCTCATCTGGGCCATCTCTCCTCCTCCCCCACTCTTCTCCACAAGCTCCTCTGACAGTGGCCCAGGGCCCAGGGTCCAAGGCCTGGGCCCACAGAGGGTCTGACAGAAATGAGCTTAGTAGCCAGAACAGTGCAGGGAGTTAGGGCCATAGGGCTGAAGAGAGGGGGAAATGCAAGGGAACCAGGAGGGAACCGTGCGCTCTCTCACTCTGTCTACTGTCCCTCTCTACCTCCTTTTGCCTCTCTCCTTTTCCTCTGCTGTCTCCATCTGCCTCCTAGAAGGGAGGGCTAGAAGAAGGGAGGGGAGCCCAAGGGGGAGGAGAAGATCCTTCGGGGGGGGTGGCCCTGGGTTCGAGTTGTGCGAAGCCCTACCCTGACCCTCGTTGCTTACGGGCACAGGGAAGCGGGGGCGACGTAACAGCGTGGGATCATTGGACAGCACCATCGAAGTAAGTGGGGCAGCCTGACACCCTCCCCCCCCCCCCCCCCCCCCCCCCCCCCCGTCTGCATGGGGCTGAGTGCCTGCCCACCTGTGCCTGTCCAACCCCTAGCCGCCCCTTCTGGGAAGGAACAATGGCGAGACATGAGCCCCCCCTCTGTCTCTGCTCCTTCTGTCTGTCCATCTGTCCTTCTTTCCCATTCTCTTTCCGCTCCATTTTCCAGGGAAGTGATTCTGGTGATGTCCAAGTGACGGGGTTGGGGGAGATCTTCCTTGAGGAGGAGACAGAGGAGGAGAGGAAGGAGAAGAGGGAGGACTAGCATAAGGAAAAGGGGGAGGTGGTAGCTGTAGCCAAGAAAACCAGGGGGTGCAGGAAGGCACCGAGCCTGTTTCCTCATATGTCTCCCCACCCCCGCCCCCGCCCTGGAAGCCAGTGACTGACCAAGGGAGTTCAGGCGGGAGCGTGAGTGGGGAGGCCCAGGGGCTGCTGCGGCCAGCTGGGCCTGACCCCTTCTCCCTCTCCCCTCCCCCTCTCCCCACTTCCTGGTGTCCCCCATCCTGCCAGGGCTCTATTATTAGCAGCCCCCGCCCACACCAGCGGATGCCTCCGCCCCTGCCTCCAGCGCCACCGCCACCCGAGGAATATAAGACACAGCAGCGCCCTGCATCCAACTCATCCTCCTTTCTGGGCTCACTGTTTGGCAGTAGAAGGGGCAAAGGCCCTTTCCAGACCCCTCCCGGGCCTACGTCTGCCTCCTCCTCCTCTGCCTCCTCCTCTCACCACCATCACCACCACCACCATCACCACCACCACCCCCCTCCGGCTACAGCGCCCCATCACCCCCCGGCAGCGCCAGCCCCGGCCCCACACCACATACATGCTGACGGCCCCTCCAAGCTTCAGGCCCTCCATGCCCAGTACTGCCATGTGCCTGGGGGACCGGTCCCACCTCCCCCACCCTACCACCCCCAGCCTGCCCCACCCCCACCCCCACCTCAGCCAGCCCCTCTGCCCCAGGTGGGCACCATCCCACCACCGCCTGCCTCGGCGCCCCCTGTGGGGCCACACCGTCACTTTCTAGGTGGGCATGGGCCTCAGCACTTCACATTAGGCCGGGCTGGGGGCCGAGCCAAACGAGGAGCAGCTGGGGCAGCCTCCATGGGGGGTCGCTACCCACTGCACCAACCCACTTCGCCCCTGCCCCTCTACAGTCCAGCCCCACACCACGGCTTGGTCCACCATGCGTATCCCCCACCAGGTCCACCACCACCCGGTGTCCACCATGTGGCCAGTGCATCCAAGCAGGGCCCCAAGCACTTTATCTTTGGTGGGCACCCCCCACCGATGATGTCCCGGTCAGCACCTGGAGGGCCCTATGGGAGTGGAGGAGGCGGCGGGGGCCACTCGGGCCCAGGGCACCCACCCCAGTCACCGCTGTCGCCTCACTCACCTGTGATACCACCTCACCCTTCATACCCACCACTTCCTCCCCCCCCCCCATACCCCACTTACCCCACATTCACCTGCACCACCCACCTCTCCCCACCCACCACCCCACAGCCACAGTCATGGCCACCCCCATGGTCATGGCCATGGTCCTGGGAACCCTAAGCCCAAACCAGCAAGTAGGATCAGCACTGTTGTTTGAATCATACGCGGAACGTCGGCTCACCCTGCCTTCTGGGTTGGCCTTGGATACTCCTAGGACACGTTTTGCCTGCCCTTCGTAAAAAAAACAAAAACAAACAAAAAAAACCCACATCTGTGTATAGAGAACTCAAGAGATGTGGCCACCGACTGACCCTGTCCCTGGTCCTACTCGGGGGGGGGCGAACCCCTACTTCCCCTCCCTGGGCTTCTGTAAGATGAGGGGGCTACTTCCAGAGTTCCGGGCTACAGTCTTATTCCCCACCCCCCAAACGAGGCTCAGTTTCTCCTGTAAAAACAAGAAGGCTCACCTGGATGGCTCTAAATCAATGTGGCATCAGCCTAGGATCTTTACCTTTACATTTCTCACAGTTCTCCTCAGGGGCTTAGGGCTCCCCCCAAAACTACCTAATCACTGAGCAAGAGCTATGGGGGGGCTGGTGGGGAAGGAGGAAAGTCTCCCATCCCGCGCTCCCTGCAGCGCCCAGCGAGTCATGGGAGAGTTTTAGCCAAGGACTCATCTAGCTCTGGAGATTGTGTGACCTGAGGGAGATGATCTCTACTTCACTAGCTGGGGGATGTCTGAGGCCTCCTCATGCCCCAGGGCCACAGAGATTCAGGGCTCAGCCCCACTCCCCTTCTTCTTGTGGAGGGACTGGGTACAGGAAGCAAGGGGCTTGGCAAGAGCTAAGGGCTGCAGGGTTGGAGCTGGGCTGACCTCCTGCTACTTGGATCCCCCTCTTCTTCTGCTTTTGGGCCTGCCCTTTCCTTCCCAATCTGCCTCCTCTGATCTCAGAGCTCGGGGAATATCCTTCCCCACCAGTTTTCCCCTCCTCACCCAGAGTAGAAATCCTGATTTATGCTGATCAGGAAGAAACACTGAACCCCACTATTTCACGTCTTCCCTAGCTCTCACCCCCTCCCCATGAGCCAATGCACTTTATAGGCGGGGGGGGGGAATGGAACTGCAGTTCCCCCCTCCAGTGCTGGGACAGGGCCTCTCAGAGACCCCCCCCCCCAGCATAGGCTCCTGGGAGAGTAGAGTGAGTGTGTGTGTGTGTGTGTTTTGGGGGGTGGGGTGGGAGATGGCTGAAGCAAGGTCTGAGAGTCCTAACAGACTGGGCAAGACTGGGCAGGCCAGGCTAAGGTAGGGCTGGGCTGGGCAGAAGGGGAGAAAAGCAGAGCTCCAGGCCCAAGCTCACCCAGTAAAGGCCCTCTAAGGAGTCATGGCAGTCCTTAGCTTTTCAGCTTGGATGGCCTTGGTCCTGGCTGCCTCCTCCATGTGTCTATTATAAATTGATTTTGTACCAAACCCGGCACCCAGCTCGCCTCTTGCTCCCTTTCTGCCCGCATGTCCTTGCAGTCCTCGCCAATCTTCCCTGCCTACCTGGCCCCAGTTGCCTACAGGGAGTGGACAAGGGGCCCAGTCCCTTCTCTGCACAGATGGGGCTGGAAAAGTGCTGGGCCAAAGCCTAAGGGAGGGGCCTCATTGTCTTGGTTGGGCCTGGTCTGTTCTTTTTCTTCTCTTTGTTGTACATAAGAATGTATATTTGATGTCTTATAAATGCCCCCGTCTTTGGCCTGTGCTCATCTTGCCTCCTGTGTGTTTCTTGGGCCTGGGTGGACTGGGACTGTCGGGGAGCTGACCTCTCCCCAGACCAGCTGTGCCTTTTGTGGGCCGCAGGGAGGCTGGCTAGGAATCAGGGGTGTGGGTTGAGGCCTACTGAGGCTCCTCAGCCAGTCAGTTGGGACCATTGCATAATCTGTCATTTTGCTAGTTGCCTGGCCTTTATTCCTTCCTTCCTTCCTTCATTCATTCTTCAGTCCCCATATTTTAGTATTAACCTTCACAAACTGGAGAGGAGACACTGAGAGGCAGAGCCCTGAACCCAGGTTTCCTGCCTCCCCTGTTCCCACTGCGGGGGGGGGGGGGACGCCACACTGTCACTGTAGGGCCCAGGAAGGCAGGCTGGCTGCACTCTCCTTTATCCTCGGGATCCCTGATCCCTTCTTCCTCTTCCTCCTCCCCTCCTTCTCTCAGTCTTCCATACTTCTTCGCCCCGCCCTTTCTCCCGGCCTGGCCCCGCCTCTCCCATCCCCATCCTCCGCCCCGACCCCCTCTCGCTTCCTGGCTCCTCCAGTGCGCCTGCGCAGCTCTGGCCTTTAAACGTGCACGACCAGCCACAGGCTCAAGAAGATCCGGCTTTTGTTTATCATCCCTAGTACCTTTCCGCCGCCTCGCCTCAGGGACTTTTTCCTCCCCCACAAGCCGGAACCTCCCGCAGCTTCACAGCCCCGCCCCTTCCCAACCCCCCCCACCCCGACTCCTCTACCCCGGGATCCGCCGAGGCCCCAACCGGGCCCCTCGGCGCGGCCGGGGCCGGGAGCCGGAGCGGCGGAAGGATTCTCAGCGTCTCGGAAGGGAACGGACCGACCCAAGATGGCGACGGCGGCGTCAGCGGCGGCGGCGTCGTCGTCGTCGGCGGCGGCGGCGGCAGGGGTTGGAACCGGGGGCGGCGCGGCGACCACGGCGGCGGCGGCGGCGGCGGCGGCGGCGGCGGCCCGGGGGCGCTCCGGGTAGCGCGCACGCACGCACGTACGCGCGCGCGCCAGGCTTCGTCCTGGTCCGCTCCCGCATTGGCGGCGGCGGCGGCGGCGTCCGCGGCGTCCGCGTCCTCCCCCGCGTCCGCCATGGAGGCCGGGCCCGAGGACTTCGTGCCCCCGCCCGAGTGCCCCGTCTTCGAGCCGAGCTGGGCCGAGTTCCGGGACCCGCTGGGCTACATCGCCAAGATCCGGCCCATCGCCGAGAAGTCGGGCATCTGCAAGATCCGGCCGCCGCCGGTGAGCGAGGAGGCGGGCCGGGTCGGGCCGCGGAGCGGGGGAAGGCCGGCCGGAGGCAGGCAGGCCGGCCAGCTGGCCGGGTGGCGCGCGCGCGCTCGCTCGGCCTCGACTCGGGCCTCGGGCCTCGGGCCTGGGCCTAGGCCCCAGGCCCCGGGGGTGTGCGCGCGCGCGCGCGGCGCCCCTCCTCGGCTTGACCGGGCGCGCCCCCTCCCGGGGCCGGCCCGTGCGCGTGCGCCCCCGGAACCGGCTTGGGGAGGGGGAATAGTCCTCCCGAGTCCGAGTCCCAGAAGGGAGGGAGGGAGGTCGAGGCAGCGGCCTTCTCTGCCGTCTTCTTTCCTCTCTTTGGATCTCGAAAGAGATAGGGCCGAATGGTGCCTTTCCGGAAAGGCCGCTGGAGCCGGCGGCGGGCCGGGGCGGGGGGAGGGGGATGGCTCCACTTGCAGGGGCCCCCGGTGAGATCGAGGCCCAGCCGGCCTCCCTCGGGGCCCCCGACACTTTAGCTGGCTCATAGACCAACTGCAGGGGCAACAAGTGAAAGCCCCCGGCCCGATCGGGGTTGGCACTTCCGGGAGTGCTCGCCGGGCCCAGCTGCGTTTGCACTAACCACTTGCGGGCCCGGCCACCTGCCATCTGAGGAGCCCCTTTTCCTACCTGAGCAGCACTGATTGCTGATGATTCTCTGGGTCCTCCACATGGGGAGAAGGAGCAGGTGTGTCCAGCCTGAAAATAGTGCCCCAGGGAGGCTCTGGGTTTGTGGATCAAAGCACTGGAGGCCAGGCCTCCAGCCTTTTCCCAACACCCTGTGGCCTTTGTTGAGGGAGATGGCGGGAGTGCCTTCTTGGCCCAGCCACCCTCTCCTCAGGATTCCTCCGCTTCGTTGGGCCTGGGAGCCCTTCTTCTTCAGGCCTGCCGCAGCTCTGGGACAGACCTATCTGTGGGGCCTGAAGAGGAGGCGTTTTAGGCATCTCAAGCTCTTCTCTGGTAGCTTTTGTGATGCTGCCAAGGGAAATAGCATACGGACACTTGTTCCTTGCCCAGGGACGTCCTGCGCGTTGTCGGCCTCGAATTTGGCCCTCTTCTTAGTTGATTTCAGTCCAGACTCAGGTGTGCCTAGAAGGTTGAACTCGGTTTCTTGGCTTTGTGGTGGTGGAGAGAGAAGAGGCGCCTGTCGCTCATCCTGCTTGGGGAACTGACAGCGGTGGCTGCTGAGCATGGGCACCAAGTGCTGAGCCACCAGCCCCCCTACTTGACAGAGTTGGCTGGGCCTGAGGCCTAAATAAATGCATGCCCCCTGCTGCCTCTGGCCTTGCCAAGTGGAGTGCTGGGTCTCATGGTCATTCCTTTGTAAAAATGAACAGGACGGGAGCCAAAGGTCGATGGCCCTGTGACCTTGAGAGCACCTCTGAGCTGTGTTCTTGTGTGTCTCTGTGCCTGTTGACTTAGCTTTCAGAAGGGTGATGTAGTGGTGGAGAGGCAGGAGCTAGCCTTAGAAACAGAAAGGGCTGGGTTCGAGTCTCAACTCTGGCATCGACTCTGTAGCTCTGGGCAACCCATCGTACCAGATATCGTCTCTGGCACTTTCATAGTTTCTGTTTGGGTTGGAATTTAGGGAAGGGGCCTCCTGCCTGATAGGTGAGGGGGGAACGGGAGCAAAGTGATTGGGAGTGGGGCCTGGGCACGGCAGAGCTAGCTTAGTCCTCCTTCCTCCTGTTCCCTTTCCCCAAAGGCCCTTTCTGGTCTCTTATTTCCTCTTCCCTGGACCCACCCTTGGAGTCTTGCCCCCAGGCCCTTTGACTGCCCAGAGCCCCCACGGTCTGATCTGTACTCAGACACAATCCTTATGTATCTTCTTTAGCATGGGGTGAACCCTGACTTGGGTTTTCCCTATAGCTGTCTCTGCCCCTGCCCGTGGTGGGACATACCCAACTAAACCTGGCCCTTTTCCTCCCACAGGACTGGCAGCCTCCCTTTGCTGTGGAAGTGGACAACTTCAGGTTCACCCCCCGGATCCAGAGGCTGAATGAACTGGAGGTAAAAGGGAGGGGGCTGGGGGGTGGGAGGTGGAGGCAGACATAAGGACAGACAGACCAAGATGGCCTGGTTGGCCTGATGAAATGAGGCCCACCTGCTTGGGGATAGGAGGAGGCCTGGGCTTAATGCTGATCTAGTGGGCTCCTGGCCTTTTAGCCCTTGTTCTGAAAGGCCTCAGGGTGGCCAGGGAGCTGGGTCATGTTGTCCAGAGGGCATCCCAAAAAAGCCTGGTGTTCAAGGAGACCTTGGAACAGCTTATCCTATTGGCTAGAGGCACTCTGACAGCCCCCTGTGAGCCCTCTCTTTGGCTGAGGAAAGTGAGGCTCAGATCAAGCCACAGGTGGCTTTCAACATCTGGGTTCTCCAAGCCCCAAATCCAGGCTCTTCACACTGCTTTCAATCCTCTTTCTCTTAAAGTGGAAAAAACCAAGACACAAACTAGGTACCTTTCCGGGTTGTCACCCTAAGAGTGCTCTGAGGCTTCTCTTACTATCTCCAGGGACCTCACTACACGCTCATGCCTGAGAGCAGACATTGCCTGGTGGGCAGATGTGACTAAGATGGATGTGTGCTCCACTGCCCTCTCTGGCTGGGGTCTGACATCTCAGGAAGGGACAAGGGGGAACAGGACCCCCCCCCCCAAAAACAAACAAACAAAACAAACCAGAACCTGGGTGAGGGCCTGGCCTGGAATGTAAGGAGAGGGATAGGCCTGTTGCCATCCCTTATCTCTAGGCTAGGAACCTTTCCCTGCCTTGGGCAGTCCTCAGTTTCTCCCTCTGACTATTGGGGGAAACAGAGTTAACTTCCTTGACCTCCTAAGGCTTGGGGAAAGGCTCATGTTTTGCTCCGTGGTCAAGGCTAGCAGCTGTAGGGCCCAGGCCTTGGGGGCCTGGGCAGGAAGGATGCCTGGAGCCCTCTATGCCCTCCCCCCTCCACCTTTCTTCCTTCTTTATTTACTTCTGGGAGTTGGGCAAGAGGCAGTTTCTCTCATTTTTCAGAGAAGACACTGAGTCAGCCCTAGAGACAGGCCTCACCCTTTTTTGGGTCTATTTCCTTAGTTTTCCTGAGGCTCAAATGAGCCCATGTGGCCGCTAGGTGGCGCCACAGTAAATAGAGTGGTAGGCCTAGGGTCAGGAATTTTGTGACTGGTCACTTCATCTCTGCCTCAGTTTTCTCTTCTGTAAAATGGAAACAAGAACTGCACCTGCTTCCCAGGAATGTTGTGAGGGCCACGGTGTCTGGGACATAGCAAGCACTATGTAGCCATATTGCTGTTACTGTCCTTGTTGCTGTTGTTACCACAAGAATGCTGACAGTGAGCCAGGAGGGAGCCTGGGGGCCTGGTGCTTCTCCCAGGGATTCCCTAATTAGCAGCTTCCTAAGAAGAGGCCACGTAACTGGGGGAATTAGGGGCACTGGATATGCCTCCTGGAGGTCAGAACAGGTGTGTCAGATGTGGCTGTAACCCACTTCCCCAGGCCCAGACCAGGGTGAAGCTCAATTACTTGGACCAGATAGCCAAGTTCTGGGAGATCCAGGGCTCCTCCCTGAAGATCCCAAATGTGGAGCGGCGCATCTTGGACCTCTACAGCCTCAGCAAAGTATGCTCCATTCCTCCTCCTGGGCCTCTGAGCTCGAGCAGGGAGTGCCAGCCTCTCTGGATGTGCACCCACTGCTGGGCCAAGTGGTGGGAGGGAGTGGGCATGTGGTGGGTAGGAGGGGAGGGGATTCAGTTCAGCTGGATCTCTGGATGCCTGTAACTTCTCTCCCTCCATGTTTTCCCTTCTAGATTGTGGTAGAGGAGGGGGGTTATGAGGCCATCAGCAAGGACCGCCGGTGGGCCCGTGTGGCCCAGCGCCTCAACTACCCAGCGGGCAAGAACATTGGTTCCCTGCTGCGCTCTCACTACGAGCGTATCGTCTACCCCTATGAGATGTACCAGTCTGGAGCCAATCTGGTGGTAAGGGAGGGAGAGAAGGAAGGAGGAAAGGCTCCTGCCCCCACCCCACACGCACCTGGGCTGTCCCAGCCCAGCCCTTAGTCTCCTGTTACCTTATTGGGCTGAAGCAATACTCTGCTCTTAAAGGATGGACTGGGTGGGGAAATCACCTCAGCTTGGTATACGGATTCCCCGCCTGGAACTGGTTTGGGAAGCTTGGCACCTGGGAGCCCTTACTAGTCCTGGCCTACCTCCTCCCGTGTCACCCAGGGGCTGCCTGCCTGCAGTGGGGCTCCCCACCCCCATTCCCTGGCTAGTTGTGGCCTGGGACTGAGGTGCTTAGAGGCTGGGCTCTGCACCAAATATGTTGGGGAAACTGAGTCAAGGGGAGAAAGTACAGGAGAAGGGAGAGGAAGGGAAGAAGGGTTCGGTCAGGGAGGACTTTCTGGAGGAGGCTCCCCAGCCAAGGCTTTGGGTGCTGGCGGTTACTGATGCCCAGGCAATGGCCTCCCCCTCCAGCAGTGTAACACGCGTCCGTTCGATAGTGAAGAGAAGGACAAAGAGTACAAGCCCCACAGCATCCCTCTGCGGCAGTCGGTGCAGCCCTCCAAGTTTAACAGCTACGGACGGCGAGCCAAGAGACTGCAGCCTGATGTGAGTGCAGCCCCCACCACCCGGCTACTCCGGCCCACTGGGGCTGCCATCCTGCCACAGGCCAGCGACGGCGGCTGCCCTGGGTGTTGTCTTGGAGTTGGCCTGCTCTTTTTCCCTTTCTCTCTCTCTCTCTCTCCCTCTCCTTCCTCCCTCCCTCCTCTCCCTGCCACTCTCACACGATGTGTCTCCCTCTGCTTTCCCTTCCTCTCATTCCCTCAGCCGGAACCCACTGAGGAGGACATTGAGAAGAACCCTGAGCTGAAGAAGCTACAGATCTATGGGGCTGGCCCGAAGATGATGGGCCTGGGTCTCATGGCCAAGGACAAGAGTCTTCGAAAGAAGGGTAAGGTGGCCATCGGGCAGCAGGGTGGGGGTGGGGAGACTGCTGCCGTCAAGACCTACTGACTTGATGTCCTCCCCAGATAAGGATGGCCCCGAGTGCCCCCCTACGGTGGTGGTGAAAGAGGGGGTGGGCACCGAGCCGAAGCTGGAGCCAGCTTCCCCTAAAGCCTTCGTGGATGGCAAAGAGGAGCTGAGCCACAGCCCTGAACCGTGTACCAAGATGACCATGAGGCTGAGGAGGAGTCATAGCAATGCCCAGTTTGTAAGGAAGCCCTTCTCCCCAGCCTCAGCCCTTGGGTCAGGCTAAGAGTCAGGAGGATAAGAAGAGGGAGGAGGACCATGCTGGGCAGGTTGGGGGCCTACGCATGTGCCTAAAGAGCAGAAGGGGGCATGGAGTGAGTACTTTGGTGTCCGGGGCAGGGGGGGGAGGGGACTCTGGCAGAGGCTGAGTGACCTAGGTTGGTGAGGCAGGATTGCTAGAAGCGCCCTCTGAGGGAGGGAATGGTGGACCTCGAGCAGATGGGACAGTGAGCCCTCCCTCCATGTGGCCAGATTGAGTCGTACGTGTGCCGGATGTGTACCCGAGGGGACGAAGATGACAAGCTCCTGCTGTGCGATGGCTGTGATGACAACTACCACATCTTTTGCCTTCTGCCCCCCTCTTCCGGAGATCCCCAAGGGCATCTGGCGCTGCCCTAAGTGTGTCATGGCGGTAAGGTGCTTGACGCAGGAGGTGGGAGGTAGGAAGGCTGGGCCCTTTGCCAGCGGCTCTGCCATCCTAGCCACCAAGCCACGCAGCCCATGGCTGTGCCTTACTTTGCAGGAATGTAAACGCCCTCCAGAGGCCTTTGGCTTTGAGCAGGCCACGCGGGAATACACATTGCAAAGCTTTGGCGAGATGGCTGACTCCTTCAAGGCTGACTACTTCAACATGCCTGTGCATGTATGTGCCTTGGGCTGAGCGGATTCTGGGCAGAGGGCTTTAAGGCTGGAGTTGGCTGGGTATTCTGAAGCCTGTTTCTGCCCCCCCCACCCCCACCCTATCTTGTACCCCTAGATGGTACCCACAGAGTTAGTGGAGAAGGAATTCTGGCGTCTCGTGAACAGCATTGAGGAAGATGTGACCGTGGAGTATGGGGCTGATATCCATTCCAAGGAGTTTGGCAGTGGCTTCCCCATCAGTGACAGCACACGGCACCTATCCCCTGAGGAGGAGGTGCGGGCTAGGGCCCAGGATCAGGGGCTGTCTCTGGAGGGTTGGGCTGGGTCCAGTTGGGCTTTGGTCACTGTTAATTCCCTGCTGGGCCCAGCCTGGCTTTGCCCCCTCCCAGCTGGGGGGGCATTCACTTTCAAGCACTACAGATGTTGATGCTGCCAGGCTGAGATTGCTCCATGGGAGTCAGTGAGGCCCCAGGGGCACATTTTGGCTTCTTGCCACCTACCTGGCAGGTGCACATACCCCAGCACAAACCAATTCATCTTGAAGCCTCTAACTCATCCTCTGAAAAAACAGGGAAGCCACATGCATTCCTTCTATCTTGGGGCTTTAAGAAGTTTTCCACTCTTGTACCATCTGTGAGGCTCAGAGGGTGGGAGAGGAAGGGAGGCTAGCCCAGGTGCCCACAGCGAAGCCTTGGCTGCATCATGCCCTCGTGGCACCACCAGTTGGGAAGGCCCTGGGGACTCAGTCCATACCTGCCCCTCTCCAGGAGTATGCAGCCAGTGGTTGGAACCTGAATGTCATGCCCGTCCTGGAGCAGTCGGTCCTGTGCCACATCAATGCCGACATCTCAGGCATGAAGGTGCCATGGCTGTATGTGGGTATGGTCTTCTCAGCCTTCTGCTGGCACATTGAGGACCACTGGAGCTACTCCATTAACTACCTCCACTGGTGAGCAGGCAGGCACCCAGCAGGGTGGCTCAGGGAGGGCCAGGCTGTCCCTGAGTGCCTGTGCCCTGCCCTTGACCACCTTCTACCCTGTGGGCAGGGGAGAGCCTAAGACGTGGTACGGTGTTCCGTCATTCGCAGCTGAGCACTTGGAGGAGGTGATGAAGAAGCTCACACCAGAGCTGTTTGACAGCCAGCCCGACCTCCTTCATCAGCTGGTCACACTCATGAATCCCAACACGCTCATGGCGCATGGCGTGCCGGTCAGTGCTCTGGCCCTGTGGGGGCCCATCTTGCCACTCCTTCCTCTCCCATTCTGGGCAATCTAGGCAGGACAGCAGATGGGTGGCTTCCACTTCCCCCAAAGTCCCTCGGCTCCATCTAGAGTCGGTCAGCTTGGGCATGTCCTTTCTGCTCTTTTTTTTTTTCTGTGGCGTCTGAGGTGGTGCCTCTTCACTTTAGGGCCCAGCCGCCTGTGTCACTTTCTGGGAGCAGTCTTCCCCTTTCTTCCTCGCCTCTGTCTCTTGAGCTTCTTGGAGTAGCCTTCCTGGCAAACTCCCATCCTTGCTGGTCTCCAGGGAACCCAAGCAAAACCTCTGCTTTCTGTAGGGCACTTTGTGTCTGGGTCTGTCTGAACCCAGATATCTCTGGCCCCGTTTCTCTTTGGTCAGTTGGGTCTCCTCAGTTCTCCCCCACCTGGGGACCAGGAAGGCAGTTCCATGAGACTAGGGCGCAGCTTGACTTGACTTCCCAAATCTGAGTGGCCCCCCCCCGAGCCCATCCTGTTTTTCTCAGGTTGTCCGCACCAACCAGTGCGCGGGAGAATTTGTCATCACCTTTCCCCGAGCGTACCACAGTGGCTTCAACCAGGGCTACAACTTTGCTGAGGCTGTCAACTTTTGCACTGCTGACTGGGTAAGCTGGGGCCAGGGCTGCTCGGGGGAGCGTGGGATGGGCCTGGCAGGGTGGGGGGTCGGCCCAGGCCAGGCTCACCCTCCCATCTCCAGCTGCCTGCAGGGCGCCAATGTATCGAACACTATCGGCGTCTCCGGCGCTACTGCGTCTTCTCCCACGAAGAGCTCATCTGTAAGATGGCAGCCTGCCCTGAGAAGCTGGATTTGAACTTGGCTGCAGCAGTGCACAAGGAAATGTTCATCATGGTACAGGAGGAGCGCCGACTTCGAAAGGCCCTGCTTGAGAAGGTGATGACTGGCGGGGCGGTGGTGGCTTGGTTGAGTACCCTGCCGTTTCCCGGGAGGCTGGGCTGAGCTCCTAGTCCAAGAATCTGCCTGTTGGCCACAGGACACCCCCCCACACACACACACACTCTAAGGGAGGTCCCAGGAGATTTGGTGTCCAGGGCTGGCATGGAGTAGATAAGGGCCCCATTCGTCTGCAGGGAAGGGAGGAGGAGGAAGAGAAGCAGTTTTAGGGTAGGGTGCGTCTGGCTGTGGCAACAGATGCCAGCCTCACTGAGGGTCAGTGTCAGCTCAGAGGGAGGGAGATCTTGGGGCCTGCAGCTGGATTTATAGATGGTACCCCCCCCCAAGCTGTGGGGTCACATGCAAACGTTGGGTCAATGAGCAAGGGGCCTGAAACGCCGGCTGAAGATGAATAGAGGTGGATGGAAGCTTGTATTTCTTGGGCTGCAAAGATCCCTTTCTGAAGCTCAGGGTGGGCGTGGTGTGTGGAAGTGGCAACAGCCTAGTGTCAGCAGCAGGAAAGGAGGGGCGTCATGGGCCTTCTTGTTAACTCTGGAGCGCTAGGCTCACTTGAAGGAACTAGGAATGTTTAGCAAGAGCCTTTCATTTGGGGTGGCAGAGGAGCTGAAGGGACAGCCCCCTCCTTCTACAGATGAAGTCAGGCCCAAATGGGAGTCCCCGAGGATGGGGGAGCTTTTGGTTCCTGCCCCTTGTGCTGGCATCCTGTGGAGGGTGCCTGTCTTGGACCTTGTTTCTGTGGCTAATCTCTGCACCAACTTGTTCAGCCCCTCTGCCAGTGTTGGCACTGAATGGGGGAGAGCCTGGGCTTCTGGAGACTTCCCCGTAGGCTTCTTTCTCCCTTTTTGTGTGCGCTGTAAGCCTTGGTGAGCGCTGTGACACAAGGGCCCCACCATCAAATGGAAGCTCCGGCCCTCCTTGGAAGGCCCCGCCATCAGCTCCCTTCGATCTTCTGCATCCTTTAGAATGCACATGTCAAGATTAATGGGATTTACTTCCCCTAAGCACCATGTGTTAGACACTGGCTGAGTAGATTCGGGGCCCAGTTGTGCTGATGCTTCCCTCTCCCTGCACAACAGCCTGGCTGCTCATGCCCAAGAGAGGATGTGTTGTGTGCTTGGCTTGGTTTTGTGGCTGGCCCTGCTCCGACAGCTGCTTTCTCTTGACTTCACTGGGCCTGCTCGATGGCAGAGCCCCAGAAAGCTTTGGGCACAGTGGGCCTTGGTGGTGAAAGTGCTAGCAGTGAGCATGATTCAAGGTGGGCCTCAGCAGCTCTGCCTCCTGAAGCTCTTTCCTGCCCCCCCCCCTTACATTCTTCATTTGCCAGGCTGCTGGGCTTCCCCCGTGGGTCCCAAATCTTTGCTGAAGGCTTGTTCAAGTTTTCCATGCGTGTTCTTTGCCTGTCATTGGGGCTGTGTGAGGCCTTGGGAGATGGGCAGCCTATGACCTGCCTCCCCCCTCCGCCATGTGTGCACAGGGCATCACGGAGGCAGAGCGGGAAGCCTTTGAGCTGCTCCCCGATGATGAGCGCCAGTGTGCCAAGTGTAAGACAACGTGTTTCCTGTCTGCATTGGCCTGTTATGACTGCCCTGATGGACTTGTCTGCCTCTCTCACATTGATGATCTCTGCAAGTGCCCCACCAGCAAGCAGTATCTGAGGTGAATGGGCTGCTGGGCCCAGGGAGGCAGCCAGGAGGCCCTGGCTGGGTGGCCCTGGGCAAGTCACTTCCCCTCTGCCTCAGTTTCCTCAGCTGTAACCTGCCTCACAGGGTCATTGTGAGGATCCAAGGAAACTGCCTGGAGAGACCTTAACAAACCATCAAGGGCTGTTGTCATATGTGCCTGCAGTAGTGGGGAAGGGGCAGGGGGAGGGGAAGGCTGACAAAAGGCCTGGCAGAAGGAAGGTGGGGGTGCTTGCTGAGTCTTAAAGGGGTCCTGAGGAAGGAGGAGGGGATTCCTAACGAAAGAACTAGCCTGGGGAAGGCCAGGGTGGAAAATAGCCAAGGTGGGCATCTAGGGAAGTCCTAGGATGCCAGCTCTGGGCACACTCTTCCCTTAGATACCGATACACACTGGATGAGTTACCTGCTATGCTGCATAAGCTGAAAGTGCGGGCTGAGTCCTTTGACACCTGGGCCAGCCAAGTGCGCACTGCCCTGGAACTGGAGGATGGGCGGAAGCGCAGTAAGTGGGGGACAGCTGGGGGCTGGGGGGCTCCTGTGGGGAGCCCGAAGCTCACGGGCTGGCGCTCTCCCTAGGCCTGGAGGAGCTCAGAGCTCTGGAGTCCGAGGCCCGGGAGCGCCGCTTCCCCCACAGCGAGCTCCTGCAGCGGCTGAAAGACTGCCTGCACCAGGCTGAAGCCTGCATCTCTCGGGCCCTGAGGCTGGTCAGCAGCCAGGAGCCAGGGGATGTGGAGCCCAGTGGGGAACGCCGGGGCCCCAGGGTGGCAACCCCACAGCTGACCCTGGAGGAGCTCCGTGAGTTCATTGAGGAGATGAGCAGCCTGCCTTGTGCCATGCATCAGATTGGGGAGGTCAAGGTGAGGAGGGAACCCTCCTGGGTGGGCCTTGGGCTGGGCTTGAAGGCAGTTGTGGGAAGGGGAGCCAAGACCAGGCTGGGGAATGAGCCCTTCCCCTCTCCTCCCTCTCTCCTCCCCCTTTCCAAACACAGGGCATCCTGGAGCAGGCGGAGGCTTTCCAGGCCCAGGCCCAGACAGCTCTGGCCTCCCTGCCAGCCAGCCTGGGCCACCTGCCTGGCCTGCTGGAGCAGGCTCATCGCCTGGGCGTGGAGGTGCCCGAGGCTGAGCAGCTGGAGCTGCAGGTGCAGCAAGCCCATTGGCTGGATGAGGTGAAGAGGGCCCTGGCACCCCCGGCCCAGCGGGGCACCTTGGCAGTCATGCAGGGGCTGCTGGCATCGGGGGCTGATGTGGCACCCAGCCCTGCTGTGGACAAAGCCCGGGCCGAGCTGCAGGAGCTGCTTGCCATCGCTGAACGCTGGGAGGAGAAGGCCCATCTCTGTCTCGAGGCCAGGTGCCCCCTCGCTCCCTGGCCTTCCCTGGGTTCCATTCTGGCTTCTTCAGACCACACCCGTTGTGCCACTCAGCACTGCTGAGCCCTGGGGGGAGAAGGCCCGTTGTCCTCCCTGGACCACATCCTGGTGTCCCTAGCCTGGCCAGGGTACCCCTTTGTTCTGGGCTCCAGGCCTTCCCCACCTTCCAGCTCAGGCACTTGCTGCCTCCCCAGCCCCCATGCACCAGGGGCCCTGGCCCTTCTCTTGAGAGGGAGCAATCTCCACAACTTGCATTCTTTCCCTGCCAGGCAAAAACACCCTCCTGCCACCCTTGAGGCCATAATCCGAGAGGCTGAAAACCTCCCTGTCCACCTGCCCAACATCCTTGCCCTGAAAGAGGCCCTTGGCAAGGCCCGGGCCTGGATTGCAGATGTGGATGAGATCCAGGTGAGGCTCTGGGGGTGCCTCCCACACCCCCTCGTCATTTCTAGCCTGTTCTTTAGCTGTGCCATTATTTAGGGAGATGTGTCAGAGAGGCAGAGGTGGAAGAAGGCAGGAAGTTGGCCAGCTTCACTTTGACCCTGTGGTGGCAAGGAGGGGGTCCAACAAGAGCTTGGGCTTCCAAGAGTGGGCAGTTCCCTGTTCTCTTCCTTAGAATGGTGATCACTACCCGTGCCTGGATGACTTGGAGGGCCTGGTGGCTGTGGGCCGGGACTTGCCCGTGGGCCTTGAGGAACTGAGGCAGCTGGAGTTGCAGGTGCTGATGGCCCACTCCTGGCGGGAGAAGGCTTCCAAGACCTTCCTCAAGAAGAACTCCTGCTATACCCTGCTCGAGGTGAGGCAGGCCCTGTTCTCTTCTTCCTCCCAGTCTGCTACCCTGCATGTTGGGCCTCATCTTTGTTTATGCCCTAACTCCTGCCCAGGTGCTGTGTCCATGTGCAGATGCTGGCTCAGAGAGCATGAAGAGAGACCGATGGAAGAGGGAGAAAGAGCAGGGCCTCTACAGATCAGACACTGAGCTCTTGGGTTTGTCTGCCCAGGACCTCAGAGATCCAGGCTCTGTGGTGAGGAGGGGAGCCAGGGGCAGGGTTGTAGATGCACCATGGGCGGGGGTGGGGGGGGCAGGGCAACCCTCCAGTTTTCCCTCTTGCAATTCCCTGTGGCCCCACGAGCCATGGGGGGCTGGACAGAAGGGCTGGCTCAGCCTGCTGAAGTACCATCTGTCTCTTTCCCTGGGGCCCAGATCCTGGCCTTCAAGGAGGGCGAGCAGAAAGAGAAGGAGGGCATCTTACATCTGCGCCGTGCCAATGCAGCCAAGCCCTGCCCATCGGCTCTCCAGCTTACCGGGCCCCCCTCAGCTGTGCCCTCCCCTGAGTCCCTGTCCTGTGTATGCGGGCAGGCGCCAGTGGGTGAGGGGGCCCTGCAGTGTGACCTGTGCAGGGACTGGTTCCATGGCTGCTGCGTGTCAGCACCACGCCTCAGTGGGCTCCGGCCCCTGAGCCCCACTCCCCTGGCCTGGTGGGAGTGGGACACTAAATTCCTCTGCCCACTCTGCATGCGTTCCCGCCGACCTCGCCTAGAAACCATCTTGGCCCTTCTGGTAGCTCTGCAGAAGCTGCCAGTTCGACTGCCTGAGGGGGAGGCCCTGCAGTGCCTGACTGAGCGGGCCATCGGCTGGCAGGGCAGGGCCCGCCGGGCCCTGGCATCCAGGGATGTGTCAGCGCTGCTGGGTCGTCTGGCCGAGCTCCGGCAGCGACTGCATCGGTCCCCGGCCACCCCTCGCCCCCAACCTGGCAGTCTGGCCTCGGCCCCACTCAGGGAGAGCAGAGGTGGCAGCGGCAGCAGCGCCAATGAGCTTCAGGTGAGGAAGCCCCGGCAGGGAGCCTCTTGGGGTAGGGGGCAGTGGGAAGGCCTTGGCTCCCTCACTTTCTTCTCACTCCCACCTTTTCCCTTTGCTCTGTTGGCCTCAGATGGCTTTGGAGAATGGAGATGCTGTGAAAAGCTCTGAGAAGGCCAGCCCTGGGGGCGGCTCAGGTAGGGGTCTCTGGGGTTGGCTGGCAAGGGGGAATTGGGGGTCAGGGCCCAGTGGAGCCGAGCTTTTGCCATGCCCATTTCTGCAGACCTGGAGCTGCTGTCCTCGCTGCTGCCCCGCCTGGAAGGTCCTGTTCTCGAGCTGCCTGAGGAAGCCCGGGCCCCCCTGGAGGAGCTGATGATGGAGGGGGATCTGCTTGAGGTGACCTTGGATGAGAACCATAGCATCTGGCAGTTGTTGCAGGCCGGCCGCCCCCCAGACCTGATCCGGCTCCGCACGCTGATCGAGGTGAGGCTCAGAGGGCTGGATGGTTTTGGGGAGCTGGGCTGCCTGAGGCCACCAACCCACCCCCATTGCTTTGTCACATCCTCAGCTGGAGAAGGCGGAGAGGCAAGGCGCTCGAGGGCGGAGCCGGGCTCCAGAGAAGAGGCGGCGGCGGAAAGGGGAACGTACTGGAGGTGGCGAGTGCACAGATGTGACCAGGGAGGAGCTGGAGCCAAAGAGAGCCCGGGGCCCAGTGACCACCGAGGCAGAGGAGATGCTGGAGGAGGAAGAGGAGGAGGAAGGGGAGGCCGAGGGGACCAGAGCCGGGGATGAGGACCTTCCCCCTGGTGGTGGCATGCGGAGTTCCAGCCCTCCCCTGAGCCAGAACAGGCCGGAGGTGAGGCCAGGGAGCCAGGGAGGTGGGCCCTCTGCCTGCCCCTCTGCCATCTGCCCCCTGCCCACCTCCCCTTGTCCCTCTGAACAGCAGCAATTGTGACAGTTTGGAGCTGGACATGTGCACCGTCCCGTGTCCCTGCACCCCCTGCTGGTCCCCCCCACACACACACACACCTTGGGAGAGGGAGAGAGAACTTGGGGTTGCGGCCTGCCCGGGCGCTCCTGCCGGGATGGGGGGCAGGGCTGGCCTCTAGGGGTCTTGGGCCCTTGTCTCCTGTGTGTCCCCTCCTTCCCAGGGGGGCTAGCTTCCTACCAGCATTCATTCCCTTGGATGGGCAGGCCTGTGGTCTGCCCCCCTCCCCTCTTCCTCTGGCCCCAGCCAGCACCATTCCAGGAGTGGGGAAGGACAGACGCCAGCTTGGCTGGCGCTAGGCCTGGGGGTGTGGAGCTCTTGGCCCGTTCTCTAGGCTAGGCTTCCACTAACCTTCTGTTCCCTGCCCCCCACCCCCCAAGGGCAAGGAGGAGAGGGGAACTAGCCCTTGATGAGCAAATCCTAATGGTTTTCTTTTTAATTAACTTGGGAGGTTTGAAGAAAGCTTCTTTGGTGCTGCTCCCACAGGCCTCAGCAGCCTGCCATCTGACCCCGACACCCCCCACCCCCACCCCACCCCGCTTCCTCTCCCCCATGCCCTGGGATTTTGTTGTAAGGGGACAAGAGATGGCAGCTCTGGCTGCCACCTCATCCATTTGTTGGGAGGAAGAAACAAAGGAACTGCCCCTCCCCCACAAAACCAAGCAAACCAACAGGAAACACGTCGTTCCCGCAGTTGCCTCTTTTAATTTTATTTTATTATTTTCCTCTTGTTAGAAATAAAACTGTTAGCAATGGTTTTTGGAAAGCCGCCTCTGCCCTGGCATTTCCTTCTCTGGCCCTTTTTGGGGGGGGGGAGGCTGGGCAGGGAAAGAGCCCCTTTGGTCACACGTGGGAGGTGAGGACCTGAAGGCCAGCCGGGCCTTCCTTTTCCTGTCTCGACAAGCCAGGTAAGAAGGAAAGTCCTAGGGAGGGGAGGGGGGCGTCCCAGATGCCCAGTGTTGGGGGGGGGGTTATGTGATCGAAAAGTGCTTTGATTGTTTGAAGGAAGGGGATTTCATCTCACTGTACTGTGGGTGAATGGGCCAGCAGGGAGAGGAGGAAGGACCCTTGGCTTCCAGCCTTATGCATTCCCAGTGGAGGGGCAGGATTGAAGCCCCAGGAACAGCCTCCTTCTCACCCCCCACCCCCCACCAGGAGCTGGAGGTACATACAAACGTGCACAACTCCTCAAGAAGTTGGCCACAGCTGGTGGTGTAGGGGTGGGATAGGGAATAAGGCCTGCCTGCTGCCCCAACCCCCAGTTTCTAGTACACTGGGATTCTTGACTTGGAGCACAGTGCCCTTCTCCATCCTAGGCCTCCCCTGACTGCCATGGGCAAACTCAGGGCCAGGAAGGCTGGTGGAGGTGAGCTGAGGGGCTGGGGCCTGGGAGCTGAGATGGAAAAGCTGCTGCCCCCACATGCACCCCAAGGGATTGTGGATACATGGTTCACCCATATGTACAAGTTGGTGAAGAAGCCCATGAGTCCCAAAGCTTAGAGTACTCAGCACTGACTTTTCCAGCCCAGTCCTCACCAGCTTCTAAGAGGAAGCAACAAAGTGCTCTGCAGAGGAGGGAGGCATGGGGGGGGGGGGTTTCATCTGGGGCAATCAGGAGGGGCTTCCTGAAGGAGGTCACAATTGAGTTAATGAAGGCAAGACATGCAACAGGTGAAGAAGAGGAGGAGGAGGAGGAACATGGCGAACAAAGGCCTGGGGGAAGGAAAGGGAGGCCAGAAATTCCAGCACTTTTTTCTTCTGTTTTCCCCCTTGGGCCATCGACCCCTCCCTCCTGCTCAGCATCGGAGGTAATAATGCATTTTACAGAAGCTAGTTAAGAAATAATGGCCACATTTAAAGAGGCTGATGTCACCTCCAGGGAGCCCATAAAACAGCCCTCTCCTCCCCCTCCCTTGTATCCATAGGCCTGTGGGGGGGGGGAATGTTCCATTTTTGAAGGGCCCCCAGCCCCTCATGCTCATTAACACCCATGGGAGCCTCCATCTCTGAGCATCTGAAGCAATAGGAACCCTCAGCTGGAAATGGGATGGGGCTGAGTCAGATCAAGAAGCTAGTGCCAGGAGGCTGGGAGTTGCCCTGCTGCTGGGGAGTGCTTCCAAGTTGATCCAGTTGGCAGAAATGGGGTGGGCAGCTAGCCAGCTGGCCCTGGAGCCTTTCTCCCCCAGGCCCTTCCTGCCCTTGACTATGATTGCTGATAGCATCCAGGAGCCAAGCACAATTAGGAATGTTCAGCTCGGACCCATAGGGCCATGAGGAAAAAGGGTTTGGGGGGGATGGGCACAAGGTGACAAATGGCAGATGGTATGTTAGGGAAGGTGCCCAGAACAGTTGCTTTTGTGAGTCCTTTGTCCAGTCTCCCCCTGCTCCCTATCTTGGACCTCCAGCAGTGGCCCTGGGTTGGTCACCTCCACCTGCAGTTTGTGACTGCCTGCCTTCTCATGCATACTTGTCTGGAGTTGATCAGTAAATCCACTGGTGTCTGGGAAGAGGGAGGAAGGAGAACAGAGGTCACTGAGGCAGGCAGGCCAAGGGTAGCAAGGGAAAGCTCCAGGATTCTAAAGGGTCTAGATACGCTGTGGTTGGGGTGTCTCCCTCGATTCTCCATGGCCTACTGTACCAGGTGGGGGAGATGGGCAAGTTATCTGGGATCACAACATCTGGGTGAGTGGGCTCCATCTTCTGGTTAAAGGGCCCATCCTACGTAGCATGAATGGCATCCATGACCTAGAGACAGCTCGAGCTCGTGGGATTTGGGGTAAGCAGGCATCGCTGGGGCAACAAGGAGACAGGCAGTTAGACCTAGAGGCCCCACTGGATTCCTGGTGGAGAAAGGCCCCAGGTCTGACCTTGATAAACCCCAAGCCTAGCAATGTCACCAGGGAGGTGGGGGTAGGGACAGACAGAAAGGAAGTGGAGGAGAGATAGGGCTTTGGTGGGGGAGGAGAAAGACTGGAATCTCGGGCTGAGTCAGGCTTGGCCCTAAGGCACCCCTGCCTTTGGAGGGAATGGGGGGAGGCTGGCCTGGCCAAGAGGGGCTGAAGGCCCCACTTTTCTGGTGCCCTCAGTGAAATACTCTGCCCTTCTAGGCACAAGACCTGTTGAGCCCATGCGCTCTATTTGATCTGAAACGAGAGTTGTGATGATGGAAGCTGACTGGCTAAAATGGGCTGCCTCTCCATGCCCAGAAATGGGGCTGAGTGGGGGGGGGGGGTTGCTCAGGAGTCAGGGTAAAGAGGGACAGGGATAGAGTGATGCCTTAGCTGGTCCAGTCAGTAAACATTTGCTAAGCACTGGGAATGCAAAAAGGAGCTTGTGGTCTAACGCAAACAAATAGATGCAAAGTGAGCTGTATATAGGATAAATAGGAAATCAGGAAGGAAGGCATTAGAATGAAAGGGATTGGGCAAAAGCTTCCAACTGGGACTCGGAAGGAGGCCAGGGAGGTCAGTAGTTGAAGCAGAGGAGGATTTCAGGCCTGAGAGTTGGTCAAAGAGAAGGCCCAGAGATGGAGGGGCTTGTTGGTGGAACAGCTAGGGAGGCCAGGGTCACTGGAGGGAAGAGAATGTGGTGGAGAGTGAGATGTGAGAAGACTGGAAAGGGAGGAGGGGGCGGGGCACGAAGGGACTTGAACGTTCAAACAAAGCATCTTGTATTTGCTTCTGGAGGCCATAGGGAGCCACTGGAGTTTATTGAGTGGGAGTGGGGAGTGGTGTCATGATCATAACTACACTTTTACACTTTTCACTTTGGTGGCTGAATGGAGGATGGACTGGAGTGGGGAGAGACTTGAGGCAGGCAGAGTCCCCAGTAGGCCATTAATACAGGTGTGAGGTCATGAGGGTCTGCATCAGGGTGAGGGTACCATCAGAGGAGAGAAGGGCAGGATAGGTAGATGTGAGAATCATCACCGTAGCAATGATAATTAAACTGATGGGAGTTGGTGAGGTCTCCCAGTGAAGTTGTACAGAGGGAGAAGAGCAGAAGGCCCAGAACAGAGCCCTGAGGGACACCTGTGGTTAAAGGGCGTGATCTGGAGGAGGAGCAGTGGAAAGAAGAATGGGGAGAGATGGGGTATCCCAGAAACGTAGAGAGAAGAGAGGATCCAGGAGGAGAGAATGACTGACAGTGTCAGAGGCAAAGCATATGTCAACAAAAGAGAAAAATCAGATCGATTAACTGGGCATGCAACTTAAAAAAATGTGTGTGCGCGCACACACACACACACACGCATGCACACGATAGAAAAAGAACAAATATAAAACCCCCAATTAGAAATCAAACCAAATTGGAAATCCTGATAATTGGAGATTAATAAAAATTGAAAGTAAGAAAACCATTGAACTAATAAATAAAACTAGGAGCTGATTTATGGGGTGGGGAAGAGAAAGCAATAAAATAAATAAGCCATTGGTTAATTTAATTTTAAGAAAAGAAAACTAAATTACCAATATCAAAAATTAAAAGGGTAAATGCATCATAAATGAAGGTGAAATTAAAGTAATGATTGGGAGTTATTTTGCCTGAATGCATGCCAGTAAAATTGACAATCTACATGAAATAAAGGAACAATGAATCCCAATACTATATAAACTATTTGGAAAAAAAATAGGTAAAGAAGGGGTCCTACCAAATGCCTTTTTGACACAAATATGATTTTGATACCTAAACTAGGAAGAACAAAAAACAAAACTAGAGACCAACTTGCCTTAATGTGGATGGAAAAATTTTAAATAAAACACTAGCAAAGGGACTACAGCCTGATAGCACAAAGACCATGTCCTATGACCAGGTGGCATTTATACCAGGAACGTAGACCTGGTTCAGTGTTAGGAAAATTATCAGCATAACTGGCCACATCAATAACAAAAAAACAAAAATCATATGATCATCTCAATAGGTGCAGAAAAAAACCTTTGACAAAATAACAGCACCTATTCCTACTAAAAACGCCAGAGGACATAGGAATAAATGGAGCTTTCCTTAAAATGATTAGTATCTATCTAAAACCATCAGCAAGCTTTATTTGTAATGGGGATAAGTTAGAAGCCTTCCCTATAAGATTAGCAATGAAGCAAAGATGGCCATTATTGACACTATTATTCAATATTGTACTAGAAATGCTCACTATAGCAATAAGATGAGAAAAAGGCATTGAAGGAATAAAAAATAGGCAATGAGGAAACAAAACTTTCACTTTGCAGATGATATAGTGGTATACTTGGAGGATCAACTGAAAAACTGAAACAATGAACAACTTTAGCAAAGTTGCAAGATATAAAATAAACCCAAATAAATCATCAGCATCTCTTTCTTTTTTTTAATTTTTTGGTGAAGCAATTGGGGTTAAGTGACTTGCCCAGAGTCTGTGTGAATGTTATGTGTCTGAGGTCGGATTTGAACTCAGGTCCTCTTGACTCTAGGGCCAGTGCTCTATCCACTGCATCACATAGCTGCCCCCTATCATCAGCATTTCTATATGTTACCAACAAAGTCCAGCAGGAAGAGATAGAGAAATTCCATTTAAAATAATTGTTGACAATGTAAAATATTTGGGAGTCAACCTACCAAGGGATTAGATGAACATAATTACAAAACACTAAACAGAAATACAGATCTAAAAAATTGGGAGAGACATTAATTGCTCATGGGTAGGCTGAGCCAATATAATAAAAATGACAATTCTACCTAAGTTAATTTACTTAAACTACCAAAGAATTGTTTTATAGCGCAAGAAAAAAAAATTTATCTGAAAGAACAAAAGGTCAAGAATACCAAGGGAATTCATGGAAAAAACAAAGAAACCGACAAACCTGTGAAGGAAGGTGGCCTAGCCATACCAAATCTTAAACCATATTACAAACAATCTGGTACTGGCTAAGAAATAGAGGGGTGGATCAGTGGAATAGGTTAGGTACACAGTACACTATAGTAGATGACTGTAGTAATCTTGTGTTTGATAAACCCAAAGATCCAAGCTTTTGGGGGTAAAAACTCAACATCAGACAAAAGTTGCTGGGGAAAACCGGAAAGCAGTTTGGAAGAAACTAGGTCTAGATCAACATCTCACACTGTATACCCAGATAAAGTAAAAATGCATACAGGATTCAGACATAAAGGGTGATATAAGTAAATTAGGGGAATGTGGAATATTTTACCTGTCAGATTTCTGGATAAGGGAAGAGTTTATGACCAAACAAGAGATAAGATCACCGGAAGTAAAATGGATAATTTTGATTACATGAAATTAAAAAGCTTTTGCACAAACAAAACTAATGCAGCCAGAATTAGAAGGAAAACAGAAAACTGGGAAATAAAAAATTTTACAGAAAGTTTCTCTGACAGACTATATAGGGAAACTAAGCCAAATTTATAAGAATACGAGCCATTCCCCAATTAATAAATGGTCAGAGGGTATGAACAGGCAGTTTTCAGAAGAAGAAATCAAAGTTATCTATGGTCATATGAAAAAACATTCTAAATCACTACTGATAAGAGAAATGCAAATCAAAATGACTCCAAGTTACCATATCACACCTATCAGATTGGCTAACATTATAGAAAAGGAAAATGACAAATGTAGGGGATGTAGAAAAATTGGGACAACTTGTGTAGTTGGTGGAGTTGTGAACTAGTCCAACCATTCTGGAGAACAGTTTGAAATTATGCCCAAAGGGCTATAAAAATGTGTATGCCCTTTGATGCAGCAAAAGCTGTACCAGGTCTCTAACCCAAAGAGATCAAAGAAAGGAAAATAACCTATTTGTACAAAAAAAAATTTATAGCAGCCCTTTTTGTGGTGGCAAAGAATTGGAAATTGAATGAGTGCCCATCAATTGGGGAATGGCTGAGCAAGTTGTGGTCTATGATTGTGTGCTATAAGAAATGACAAGCAGGCTGATTTCAGAAAAATTCTGGAAAGACTCGTGAACTCATGCAAAGTGAAGTGAGCAGAATCAGGAGAGATCATTGTGCACAGCAACAGAAACACGGTGTGATGATCAGCTATGAAAGATGTGGCTGCTCTGATCAATACAGTGAGCTGAGACAATTCTGAAGGACCCGTGATGAAAGGGAGAAAACTGATGAACTCTGAATGGACTGAAACATTTTTTTATTTTATTTTTCCTGGGTTTGGTTTGGTTTGGTTTTGGTTTTTTTTGGTCTGTGTTTTCTTTTGAAATATGGCTAATATGGAAATATTTTGCATGACCACACAGTATAATTGAAATCAAATTGCTTGCCTTGGGGAGGGAGAGAATTTGGAACTCAAAAATTTTTACAATGAATGCTAAAATTTACTTACATGTATTTGGGAAATATTTAATGAAATAAAAATATGTTGGGGAAAAAGAAGGAAAAAAGAAAGAAAATTTAATTCCAACAAAAGGAGCCAGGTACTTTGCTTGCTCTTCTGGAGCCCTTTGGCCTAGGGTCTGGAGGGAGCAGCCTCTTGCCTTTTCCACGGAGGTCTGCTTTCCTAGGTTGTGTCTGGCAGTCAATAAACATTTATTTAGTGCCTACTGTATGCCAGTACACCATTGAGGACAAGGCCTCTGCCCTAATCTTCTGGACACTGTGAAGTAACCTTTAGACAAGGCCTCAGTTTCTCATTTTATTGGTAAGAGTAGAGGACCCGAAGGAACTTAACCCATAGCATCTGGGCCTTGATGACATCTAAGTCTAGGGTTCTAGATCTAGAGATGGAAGACAGTTTCAAAGGCATTTACTCCAGCCGCTGGATTTTACAGCCGAGCCCCCCACCCACCTTAGATCCCGAGAGAGATTACGTGAATGGCCCAGGGTCACATAGGTAGTAATTGGCAGTCAGAATTTGAACCCAGGTCTCTCCAAAGGCAACAAGTAGCCTGTCCCCTAAATGCGCACACCGCTGATGTAGCTTCTATCTCACACAGAAAGGGAATCTGAGGCATCAAAGGGAGGATTAGAACCCAGCGCCTTGACTAACCTGGCTATTCCTGGCGAGCCTTCAGCTCGCGCTCCATCCCTGCATCCCCATCCCCCATCCCCCACTGCGTATCCCTGATGCACCACCCCCATCAAACCGGCAGCGCCCCCTTAGAGCGGGAGGCTGGAGCCCGAGCTACCCAGCCCTCAGATCGAGAGCATGCGCATTCGGCCGCCTCAGCCCTGGGCCCCCCCCACCGCCTCTCCAGCCCTAATGCCTGCGGCGGGCGGGCTTCAGTTCCTCTAGCTCCTCCTCCCGCTTCCCGGCCTCACCCCCAGGAGCCTATTGGGAGCGGGTCCCAGAGTTGGCCAATCAGAGAACGCCAAGGCGGTAGAGAGGCAGGGCCGGGCCCAGCTGGCCTCCTTTTCCAGGGCATCCCCGCATCCCTCTATCCCAGCATCCACCGCATCCATCCCGGCATCCTCACTCCCTGGGTCCTTGCATCCCTCCCGTCCCGGCATCCCCAACTCCTTTCTTGCCTGCGTCCTCGAATCCCCCGGCTCCCCAAAGCCCAGCCCGCCTCCTGTTTCCTGGGGCCCTTGCGGCGGGGCCTGACTCTGGGGGTGGCCAAGGCCATAGTCCCCGGCGGAAGCTGGCAGGTGCCTCCTGGAGTGGGGTTGGAAGCTTAGACCTTAGAAGGCCCCAGCCGCAGTTCAGACCCTTCACCACAGGGGAAGCCGAGGGTTCTGGCTTGTTTGCTACTAACCACACTCCTGAAACAAGCAGACCTGCCTCCAGCCTGGCCCTCACAGCCATCTCCCAGGGAGAAGGGGCCAGCCATCCCCACCAACTGCCACCCACAGGGCAGGCAAGCCAGCCTGGCTGAAACAGCCAGGGCCCCTGAGGGAGAGAACAGGCAGCATGTGCCAGCCACGACCAGCTCCCCTCAGCCCAGGCAGCCCAGGCCTCTGAGCCCAAGGGCCTTGGGACCAGCCAGGCTTCCAGCCCCGGGCCCTCAGCCATCCTCCTGGGAAGTAAGCCCTGGGGACGGTCGGCTCCCTGGGGGCTCCGGCCACAGTTCCTGAGGCCTCACAAAGGGAAGTCCTGGCCACGGGGCTCCAGCGGCTCCACAGTGGAGCCTGTTGCCGTTCTATGGGTGACATTAGAGAAGAGGCCCGAGTGCCTGCTTGGCCGCTCCACCCTAAGGACCCCGGGCCCTTGACTTCCATCAGACTCTTTTTTCAAGTGTGGCCTCCCCCGTTAGAATGGGGGCTCCTCGAGGGCAGGGACTGTCTGACTCTTCTGTTTGCATCCACCCGGCTTGGGCATAGGGCTTGGCACACAGCAGGTGCTTAACAGATGCTTCATTCAACTAACTGTAAAAGTTTGAGCAAATATCTTGATCTCCTCTCTGGACCTCAGTCTCCTCCTCTGGAAGACAGACCAAAAGCTCCCCAAGGTTTCCTCCTACTCAAGACATTCTCTGAATGCAGGGATATGAATGGAGTCTTGGGAGAGATTTTAGGCCAAGACCCCCAGGTCTTCTGGGCACATCTCAGGGCATTCCTGCCCCTGGACTGTCCAAGACTCTGACCCAACCCCCCACCAAGCCCCTGGAAAGAAAACAAACAAGGCTGAGAGATTTTATTTACTTCAGTATCTTGGTTTACAAAAAAAAAAAAAACAGGCAGAAAAATGAAGGCCCTTCCAAAAGGGCGGCTGCCTGCCCGAGGGCCCTCCCTTCAGGCCCAGTGATAGCTCCCATCCCATCCCTCCCATTGTAGCTATCGCCACATCCCTCCTCCCATCAGGCCCAGCCCTGAAGGGCCCTGACTCCCTACCTCCTCTAGCCCTGGACCACAATGTCTTCACACTGGTCCAGGGTGGGACCAAGCCTAGGCTGGTCCAAAACCAAAGGCCTGAAGCCCAGCTGCCTACCTAGTCCCCATTCCCCTCTACTGCTTGCCTGTTTGCTTCTCATACCCCCACACAGGGAAGATGAGAGGAGCTGCAGAGAATATCAGGCGAGGGCTGAGAACAACAAGCCCAGAACTGGGGAGGCCAAGGGGAGTGGGGGGAGCTGGCCAAATACAGGGCCACTATAGCCAATGTGCTTCCCATCTGCGAGTGGGGAGGTGAAGGGCCAAATCCCGTACCTGAAAACTCATGGATGAGGCTGAGCCCAGCGACTCTCTGGGCCTCAGCATCTCATCCTTTTCTTCTCCTCCAGGACCGAAATGTTGACCCTTTTCCCCTTGGCATTAAAGTCCCCCCCTCCCCCATTTCTCTCTGTGGCCTTAGCCAGTCCCTACTACATACCCCCAGCTCTCCAGGCCCTCTCAGACTCCTCTCCCATCCACACACAAGACCTCCTCCGGGCAACCTTCCCTAGACCCAGCTCACCTCTCCAACTGAATTCCCCCTCCGAGTCTCTCCCCTCCTCCCAGCCCACCCCTTCCTCTCTAACATCCTGCAGGTGGGGCTCTCTTTCTCAGAACCAGAGGGCTGCACAGTCTAGAGTCAACTCTCTGATGCAGGGGAATCCCTGACCATTGACACCCATGTAAGCCTTGTTGGCTTCCAGGGCTCATGTGAGAGAGGAGGTCCACTATGGGGCACCTCCAGAGAGGTATGTTCTTAGGGAAGGGAGGAGGGTCCCTGAGACACACTGAGCCAGGTCAGTGAAGAAGGAGGGAGGATTGGGAGGAGGACAGAAGGAGGTCCCAACAGGGAGAGAAAAAGGTGATATAACATCCACAAGGGTTCTGGGACCATGGACACCCATGTAACGGACCACGTATCACCTTGGAAAAAAAGACGGAGCTGGCCAGCTTGCAAAAAGTAAGGCTGAGGATGGAAAGAATTCCTCAGCAGGGACAAGCTGGGGTCTAAGGACCACTGAGGCTCCCAGAGGGACCCTGGAGAACCAGGGAGCTAAGTCCCCTCCCATGACAGCAGGAGAGTTGCCTAGCCTGTCCCCAAGGAGGCGACTGGAGGGAGCCTAGTGGTGGTGGTGGGGGGTGTTGGTCCTGAGCCACCCCCGTGCCCCAACAGGGGGGCAAATTAGAATTCCCAGTGGGAACACAATGTGGGAAGAGATATGATGGAGACTAAAGACCATCCTTGGCGGCGGCCCCCAAGAGGCCCGCTTGTCCTCTTCCCCCTTGGCCTCCTGGGCCTGGTTCTCAGGCCTGAGGCAGGGGTTTGGGGCAGAGGTGCCGCTGGATGGGGCTCTAGCATTGGAGGGAGTGTCACCTTCCCTTTGCCCACTTTGGGGGGGGCATTCATTACTAAGTCAGTGTTACTGGGTTTGGGGAAGGGAACTTATATAGTACATAACAACATCTCTCTCTGGAGACAGCAAATCCAAGAGAGAGGAATTAATGTAAGTGAAAACCCAGCACATTCACAACTGACAGAAAACCCCGTTTTTTTTGTTTCTAGTTTTTAAAAAAGAAAAAAACAATCTGGGGTGTGTGTGTGTGTGTGTGTGTGTGTGTGTGTGTGTGTGTGTGTGTCCCTACTCCCCTAGAGGCTGCTGGGGACCCCCCCTCCACATACCACCGGTAACAGAGGAGTGCCATGTGATGGAGCTCAGAGAATCAGGTAAGTCTGGGGACCTCCTCCAGGATCCCCACCATGCCCTCAACACCGATTCTCATGTGCCATTCGGGCTTCTTTTCCCCTCGCTCAGCCTCTTTTCCCTTTTCTTCATGCTCCCTCTATCACATAACACAGTAAGGCTCCCGAGGGGCCTGGGGGCCTCCGGCCCCCCAGCACGGGGCATGAGTCCTCAGGCACTTCTTGAGGTCCTTGTTGAGGAGGAAGCAGACAATGGGGTTGACCCCAGCCTGCGTAAAGCTCATCCATACGGCAGTGGCTAGGTATCGGTGAGGCACGGCACAGGCCTTCACAAAAACCCGCCAATAGCAGGCCACAATATAAGGAGACCAGAGCAGCAGAAACAGCAGAGTGATAGCGTAGAACATGCGGCCTAGCTCCTTCTCCCCCCGGAACTCCTCCATGCCGAGGAGGCGCCGGCTGGCCGCGTGGCCCACCCCACCTCCAGCTGCCTGCCGGATGCCCAGCAGCGTGGGAGGCAGGGGGCCTCGGCCAAAGCCAGCTATCCAGTTTGCCGCGGCCTGGCCGGTGGCGCCAGGCCCATGAAACGTCCAGTTCTGACTGACTGCCGGGACAGTCTGGACAGGGCGCATCTTGCGGTGGCGGTACTCAAAGAGAAGCAGCTTCCCATACACAGCATGGGTGGCGGCCATGAGGGCAGCCAGCATGAGCATGAAACCCAGCGTGTCGTTGGCCTTGAAGTAGCGGTGTTCAAAGATGCATTGGTCTTCCTCGCGGATGAACTTGTAGGTGCCCACGTCAAAAACAGGCGGGAAGGCCATGGCCACAGAAAGGGTCCACGCCATGCAAATGACCGCCGCACTGGTCCAGATGGTCATGCGCTTGGCATAGAAGCGGTGATGAGCCACAGCCATGTAGCGGGTGACGCTGATGCAGAAGAGCATGAAGGCAGCATGGAAGCAGAAGAGCACTGCCATGAAAGCCACCACCTTGCAGCTGAGTGCACTGTAGGTCCAGGCGGAGCCATGCCGGATGGAGGCCAGCACAAAGGGGAAGCAGACGGCAGCCCGCACACCATCAGCCAGGCACAGGTCCAGCAGGAAGTAGTACGGAGCCTTGTGCAGGGCACGCTCCCTGAGCACTAGCAGGGAGAGGAGGGCATTGCCCACCAAGCTGATACAGATGATGGCCCCCAAGAGAACCAGCTTGATGGAGGTGGAGGCGGCGGCAGCGGCGGCGGCTGTGGTGGGAGGCAGGGAGGACCCACTGCCGCTGAGATCGTCTGGCCCAGTGGCGTTGGGCATCATGCCACTAGAAGGGCTGGCCCAAGGAGGGAGGGGCTGGGGATCAAAGACTCCTTCGGGCTGCCATGGGCTGGGTAGGATAGGGTCTTCCTGCAGAGAGGACAAGGAGGGACAGAGGCAGCATGAGACACCAGAAATAGAGAAAGAAAAGAGGGGGCAGACAGAAAGAGGAGCAGAGATGTGAAAATTCAGAGGGAGGCAGAGGGGAAAGGGGAACAGGAGGGAGGGAGGGAGAGACAGACAGACAGACAGACACAGAGGCAGAAAGAGACTGAGAGAGGGAGAGAGAGGTGGGGGAGAGAAAGACACACACAGAGAGAGACAGAGACCCAGAGGGAGAGAGGGAGGAAGAGAGAGACAGAGAGACAGAGAGAGACATACAGAGAGAGACAGAGACAGAGACCCATAGAGAAAGAGGGAGGGAGAGAGAGACACACACACACACAGACACAGAGGGAGGGAGGGAAAGATGGAGAAAGAGAGAGAAAATGAGGGCGGGAAAAGACTTGCGAGAGAAAGAGACGAAGGATGGAGAGAGCCAGACCCACAAATGCAAGCAGCGTGGGGGCCAGGAGAGACAGAAGGGAGGCAGAGACAAGAGGGTTACTCCATTCTTCCCCCACCCTGCTTCCAGCCCACCTCAGCCCCACCCAAAGCGCTGGAGCCATAGCCGCCCGCACTCCCGCCCGCCGCCGCCGCCTCCTCCTCCTCCTCCTCCCCCTCCTCCTCCTCCCCCTCCCCCTACCTCTCCCCCTCCTCCTCCTCCATCTTAAGTATGTGTCCCTGAGCTGCTTTTTGGGTGTGTTGTTTCTGTAGCGCGGCGCGGCGTGCGGCTCGTTTGTGTTGCCATGTCTGGATCTTTCTGGCCAGGGCGTGCTGTCCTGATTGTGCGTGTAGGCCTACATTTCTCTGGATTGTATTTTTCTGTTGTGGGTTTGTGTCTTTATGCAGCGTGGCTTGTGAGCTTGTGAGGTGAACCTTCTAGAACAGGTTCCCCCCCCCCATTCAACAATCTGGACCCCAAGAAGCATTCTTCCTCCTCCTCCTCCCCCTTCCTCCCCCCCCCCCATCTTGGCCCTTGCCAGGCACACAGAGACGCGGGCTCCCAATTCTAACAGACACAAAAACTAGACCACAGACACATAGATCACACACACTCGTTCACACGCGCGCGCGCGCACGCACATTATACAATGGCTTCACAACCTCAGGACACACGCACAATAACGTGCAAAAGATCTCACAAAGCCAGTACCCAGAAACACACAATGCCGACAGATCAGCCTCTCCGTAATCTCTAATGTCTCCGTATATACTCACACCCAATACGGAGACACACAGCAAGGCTCGCGAGCCAAGCTGGGTGCGCACAGGCAGCCGGCTAGGAGGTTCAGAAAGGGGGAGGAGCTGGCCTGCCCCCGCCCCCCCGGTCTCTGTCTGTCTCTTCTCTCTCCTCTCAATCAGCGCCAGTGACTGGCTGCACCCCCGGCCCCCCACTCCCCTCTAGGAGGTGATGGTTCCTCCCCCACTCAGTGGAGACAGTGAGAGAACGGGAGGGACACAGAGACGGAGGGAGAAATAGAGCCAGAGAGGAGCGGAGGAAGGGAGACGGCCAGGTTGGCCACAGCCTGGAGTCCCCTTCAAAACAGACCTGCGAGGACCCCAGGCTGGCTGGTGCCCACTGTTCAAATTCCTGCCACACACCAATAGATTAAGATAAGCCCCAATCCCCCCACTCCCAGCTTCTAACTCTGGGCTGGGCATCTCGGGGCCGCCCTCATACATCTACGGATCACAGACCTGACCACACACATGCTCCCCTCCTTTAGGCCTGAGGTGAGACAGGCAGCAAAGGCTCTGTGTCGAAAAGAGAATCTGGTCTCCCTCACCCCACTTCCTGCCCACCCACAGTCACTGAGAACAGCCAGGGATAAAGAGAACGAAACACAGAACAACACGGGGGCGGGGGTGGGGGAATGGGAGGAGGCACTGATGACCAACGGTTTCTGCAGGACTCCATTTTGGGGGGGGGAATGTGGGTGGGGAGCCAGAGAGACTGAGGTAGACTCTAAGAATGGGCAGAGACAGGGAGAGGGAGAAACAGTGGACAGAGACATGACGAGGAGATGGAGAGACATGAAGGAGGGAGAGAGACTGAAAGATGGACGGGGAAAGGAAAGGAGAGATGGAAAGAGAAAACAATAGAGACCAAGAGGGTGCGAGGAGAGAGAGAGGGAGAAGGAAATGAAGAGAACAAAGAAGCTATGGGGAGACAGAAACAGGGGGAGATACGGAGAGACATGGGGAGACATGATATGCAAAGAAAGACGGTAATGAAGCAAAAAGATAGTGAAAGAAGAAATACATGATCAGAGGCAAAGAAGGAGACAGATGCAAATAAAGGAAAACAGGGTGGGATAATGTGGGCATACAAGAGGGAGACAAAAGGGAGAGAGTCAGACTGAGGGCCAGACAGAAGGGAACAGGGATCCAGAGGCCAGAGCCAGACTAGGGTCCAGAGCAGCAGAAGACAAAGCAAGAAAGCCAAAAAATATACAAGAGAGATAGCGACAGAGAAAGGGAGACAATGCCAAAGGAAACCACGACAAAGGGGAAGGCGAAAGGGTGGGGGGGAGTTGGGGGAAGGGGGTAAACTACGGACAAGAGGGGGCTATACCTGGATGAAAGGAGAGACAGAAGGAAGGATCTGGAGAGATAGAGACCTGAAGCGGGGGTGGGGTGGTGGAGCGTAGACAAGGAAGGGGAACCAGAGAGACGGAGTAGAGAACAGGAGAGGGAGGCGGAGGGCAATAGCGAGAGAGAAAGAGAAGACGGAGACACAGGAAAGGAGATGAGGGAGACAGGAAGTGGAGGCAAAGATGTGGGGAGACGGAGACAGAGAAAGAGAGGAAGAGAGTGAGGAGACCGTGTCGGAGAGCCAGGGAGGACGAAAAGCGAAGCAGCAGGAGACAGGAGACAGCCATGGAGACAGAGCCATGGAGATAGCCAGAGGGGCTGCAGATTGCGAGAGCGGGAGAGTGGCGGGGAGATCCGGAGGAAGCCCCGGAGAGCCGGAGACACACAGGGGAGACCGAGGCAGAGACAGCCGAGCTGACGGGAGGCGGGCAGGAGCGGAGAGAACAGAGGAAGGAGGGCAGAGCCAAGGAAGGCAGAACTGGGCTCGGGGGGAGCCCCACGGCGGAAGACACAGGGAAGCGTGGCCGAGAGCACGATCGGGGCAGCGGCGGCGGGCGCCAGGCCCCGCCTGAGCCACAGAAGCGGGGCTTCGCTGTGGGCGTCTTCTCACCTGGCAGCTCGGGGCTCCGGGGCTTGGGCTACGTGGGCCGGCGATGGCAGCGGCGGCGGCGGAGGCGGAGGAGGCGGCGGCAGCGGGCGGTTATGGTTGAATCGCCTGCCTCCTTGTTGTGGTCCCCAGGGGGAAGGGCTCTCAAAGGCCACCAGTCTTTCCTCCTCCTCCTCCTCCTCCTCCTCCTCCTCCTCTCCTCCTCCTCCTCCTCCTCCTCTCCTCCTCTTCCCGTTGTCCTGGAGACCAGGGGTCTGCTCTGCTCTCGAGGGGATGGGGAGGGGGGCACACATATATCACAATATTACATGGGCATTACACATGCATCACATGGGTCCCACATGGCCCACAGGCCTTAGATCCCATAGTAGGCTCTGGCTTTGCCCAAGTCTGGAAGGACTCCCCTGATGCCCCTCTCACCCATGTGGGCACACAGCCCCTTGAGGCCAGGGTAATCCCATGCCCCAGGCTCTGACCCCCTACCTCCCTTTTGTCCTAGACCACCACAAGGAAGCAGCCTCAGGCCTTGGCTGAAAAGTGTGCATAGAGATAGAAAGGGGCAGAGACATTGAGAGAAACAGAGATAGCCAGACACCCACCATGACACAAGGAATGCCAGTTACAGAGACAAAGAGAGACACTGGCAGAGAGACACACACACAGAAAGACAGAAAGAGACAGAAAGCAAGAGAAGGAGAGGGAGGGAGACAGCCATGCAGAGCAAGACAGAGAGACACCCTGACAGAGACTCCAAGAGAACTAGACCAGATGATGCTCCCTCAACCCCATCCCAAGCCCCCCTCCCTTCCAGAGTCCAGGGGCTGATTCAGTTACTGGGTCAGCCGGGAGGCCCAGGGTTCCAGTCCAGAGGTGGCAGAGGAGGCGTCTGCAGCTGCACATTCCTGCCACTGAAAATGATATGGAAGGCCTGAGCTTCTCCCCACCCTCCCCCCTTGGCCCCCACCACTCAACCCCCCACCCCCTTTGAATTGGCCCAAAGGAGAGACTTGAGCCCAGACTAAGGAAGAGGAGGCAGGCAGGAGCCCAGAAGCAGGCCCTGAGGCCCACCAAGATACACACCCAGCCTCACCCCCAGGGAGAGGAGGCCAAGATCTAGGCAGAGCCCAAGGCCGCTGGCTAGAGAGGAAGAGAAGACAATCCGCCTCTGAGCTGCACGGGCCTGCTGCTGGTTCCCTCTGTGTGGGTGGTAGTGGGAGGGATCTCCAAGCACAGGGGAGAAGAAGAGGAAAAAGGGAACAATGAGCCGAGAGAGTGAGCTGGAATAGAGGGATTGAGAAAGGAGAAGGGAGGAAGAGCATGCTCAGGAGGAAGGGAAAGGAGGGGGAAGGGAAAGGGGGACACAGAAAAAAGGGAGGCCGAGGCTGGGGGAGGTGACAAGGAGGCCAAGGAGGGAGGGCTACAGTACAGATGTGGATGGAATTGGAGACAGACACCAAGGACAGATGTGGAGTAGGGGAGGAGTCGCTAAGGCCAAATGTGGATGGGGGAGGGGGGCAAAGAGCAGACCACTGACTGGGAAGAGTCCAGGAAACAGAGAGGGTAGAGCCAGGGAAAGAAGCGTTCAGCCTTTGCTCCAGGCTCCACTCTAGGGCACAGGAGACCAAAGTAGGAAGGAATCTATACAAAGTATATCATGCCTAGCACTGGGCCCGATCTTTCTTGGTTGGGATAGGGAACCTCGTCCTGGGCGAGCAAGCTGCCCATTGCAGTCAGCGCCTGTTCTAGAGCTTCCCTCAAGCCCTAAAAGCTGATGGAGCCTGGCCAGGGTGGTATGTCTCACAGGCTGCTCACCATCCACCATCCCATGCTGGGAGGCCCTTGAGCTTGGCTTGGAAGGAACCTGGAGATGAAGAGAGAGGGAGGCCATGCCTGCTGGCACTGACAGTAAAGGGCCTTAAGGAGGATGCATAGGATTTTGTATTTGATTCGCCTTGGGAAGCCAATGGCTGGTTAAGGTTGGCCCTACCTCTTGTCCCCACCTCTCACTCTCCCAATCCCAGCTATAGGGGAATGCCCTCTATCTCCAAGCCTTGCTGCCTTTGTCCTCACCCCATCTGGCTGAACCCTCCCCAGCAATGTCCCTGCTAGTCCTGGGGCACACATCAGAGAGTTCCCACCCACTCCTGCCTCATTCACCGCCTCTGCCAGAATACTCTTTGCTCCCTATGTCCACTAAAGTATCTAGACTTTCTGTTGCCATGACTGAATAACCTCTCTTCCTTTAGGGTTCATGCAGTCTGAACTGATCTCCTGACCCAGATTCTGGTGGCTCTTAGCTACCAATCTTCCCCCTTTCCCAAGGAGTTCAGTACCTGCTTCATAGTGCCCCTCTGCACCTGTTTCCCTGCCTAGTCATGTTTATCGCCTGAGCAGGAGGCCAAGTCCAGAGAAGTGAAATGCCACTCTGTCCTTGGTTAACCCTTTCTGAGCTAGGGTGAAGTAAATCTCCTCTTGGTAACTGTTCAATGACCTCTGATATCCATCAGGCTTTGCCAGACCCCAACCTACAATTACCCTCACCATCTAGCCTCCTTCCATTCTACCCACTTTCTATTAAAGGGAGTTGGAGGAAGTCACAAAACTGAGCTGAAGGGTTCTCAGCTAACACAAATCTGTGTTATCTCATCTCAACTGGGACCTCACTGCAGCAAGGCAGGGTTTCTACTCCTCCCTAATAAACTCTATCCCATTCACCAGAGTGGCTACTTCAAACCCTCTCTTCTCCTCAAGCCTCCCACAGGACCCCCCCCACCTCAGCTGAGGACTTTACTCTTATCATGTCATATCCCTCACCCCCCACTATCTCCTCCTTCACTCAAGTCTCTAATGAAGGAATGGCCCTTCTTGCCAATGTGTGCCCCTGTACACACACCTTTCCATCCCCTTCCTTCTTCTCTAGCAGATCACCCCAGCTATTATCCCCACTCTTTAGTGGGAAATCTCTCCCTGTCTACTGGTTACTTCTCTATTGCCTACAAATGTGCCCAAGTCTCCTCCATCCTAAAAAAACCAAAAAACAAAAAACCCATTAATGAAAAAAGGAATTTGCCTATAAAAAAGCCTTTATTAGACTCTCTCATTCCCTTCCACTATCATCCTAGATCTCTCCTCCCTTTCATGGCCTCATTTCTTCTCCTCTCATTCTGGAATCATCCTTCTGCAGTCTGGCTTCCAACCTCAACATTCCACTGAAACTTCTCTCTCCAAAGTGACCAATGGCCTCTTAGTTGCCTTTTTTTCATCCTCATTCTCCCTGACCTCTCTCTCTGCAGCCTTGGACATTGCTGGTCACTCTCTTCTCTCTAGGTTTTCATAACACTACTGTCTCCTTCTAGCTCTCCTCCTGTCTGTCCGATCATTCCCTCTCATATTACTTTCAAAATTATCTAGCTTATCAGTGTTTCTTTCTGAACTTTCTTCTGTTCCTTTTTGGGTACTTAAAAAAAAACACATTTCAAAAGCCTTCTTTGTTTTGGCATGACTGATGCTAGCCCCTTACTTCCCCCCCCCCCGCCACCCCAATAAAGGGCCTTGTAAGAAATAAGAGTCCAGCCCAACAAATCCACCCAGGGGCCATGGCCACACATAGTGAGTCTTCCTGCACTTCAGAATGGGTCCCCTACAGACAGACATGCTTGGTCATTGCACTGCTCAGAGGTCTTAGAGCTTTCAAAGTTTGTATTTTTTATTAAGTGCCCACTATGGGTCAGGCACTGTGCCAAGCATTTGTTTTTTACAAATATTACCTCATGTGAGATAATGAGAAAATGATAAAAGCAAAAAAACCAACCCCTGCCCTCAAGAA